TGCAGGCTCTGGATCTGACCTAGCCCTCCTCTTGCCTTGGCCTCTGACCCTTCTCTGGCCTTGCACTTGTCCTGGCCCCTTTCTGGCTTTTTGGGGGCCCTGCTCTGTCCATATCACGACTCTGGGCTTGCATGTGCCTGTCCTGTCATAGCCTGGCCCTTTTCTAGTCCTGCTCTGGCACTGGCCCTACCCTGTCTTGGCTTTGTGCTACCTATATCTGCCCTTCCCTGTGCCAAGTTCTGGTCCTGCATTTTCCCTGTCCTGTCCCTCGTTTTCCCTGTTTCTGACTTTGTCCTGGTCCTGGTCTTGGTACTGTCATAACACTGGCTGTGACCCTGCCTCTCATTTCTCCCTGGCCATGACCCAGCTCAGGTTCTGTCCAGGCTCCAGCCTGACCCCAGTCCTGGTTCTGCCCTGGCTGACCCATGACTGGGCACTGCATTACCCAGTACCCTGGCCCTGACTTGCCCAGGACCCTCATCCTGTCACTTGTTCTGCCATGCTCCTGACCCTCTCTTGGCCCTGGAACTGTCCTGACTCTGGTCTTGTCCTGCTTCTGGCCCTGGTACTGTCATGGTCCTGACGTTTTCCCTGGCCTTATCCTGCAGTGTCCTTTCCTTGGCCCTCTGCTACACTGTACTTGTTTCTGCCATGAACCAGTCATGCCATTACCCTATCTTACTCTGAACAGTTTGTGCTCTGGCCTTGGCCCTTTTCTGGACCTGTCCTGACCCTGTCTTAACTTTTGCCCTGCCCTGATTTGGTGGTCTTGTCATATCCCTGGCCCTAGCCCTTTCCTTTTCCAGGCCCTGACCCTGGACCACAGGTCTCTCCTGGACCTTCCCTGCCCATTCATTCCCTGGTCTTGTTCTCACCCTGAAATGACCCTGTACTGACACTCTCTGCCTTGGCCCCGGCCCTACATTTTCCTTACCCTGACCTTGCACTGTCATCCTCTGTTATGGCCCTGTAATGGCCCCAGAATACCCTGGCCCTGTTCCTAGTTGTACCCCAGCTATGACCCCTGCCCTGCTTTTTGCTATGCCTTGTACTATCCTAGCCCTGCCCTGTTTTGGAACTGGCCCTAACCCAGGCCTTGCACTGCCCTCTCCCTGCTTTTGCTTCTTGCTGGTTCTGGTTCTGCCTTGATCTTGCCCTCCTCTGGACCCTCCATGTTTCTGCTTTCTCCTTGGCTCTGCATCTGCTGTGGCCCTGGCCCCAGCCTAGACATGGCCACAGTGGCTTAGAGCCTGACCTTACATTGCTTCTGGCCTGGGTCTGACCTTGCACAATCCTAGTTCTACCCTGGTCCTGACCTCACTCACCCTGCTTCTGGTCTTGCCACTCTGACCTGGCCATAGCCCTGACCTTGACTACTGGCTCGTGCTCCTATCCCTGGTCCTGCCATGGTGCCGACCCTATCATGGTCCTGCCCCAGTCTTGTCCTAGACCTGGCCATGGCACTAACCCTGTCCTGGTCCTGACCTGCTAAAGGCCTTATCATGACACTGGCCTGGCCCTGGCCCTGATTTGCCTGAGCCCTAACCCAGTACACGCTCTTCTGGCCCTCGCCCTGACTCTGGTCCTAACTGTCTGTACATAGCCCTGTTGCTGGTCCTGCCATGTCCCTGACTCTGGCCCTGACGATCTTTCTTTGCCTTGTTCCTGAAATTGCCCTTTTTCCTAGTCCTGGTCCCAGCACTGGCCCTGCCTCAGCACTTCTCTGGTTCTGGTCCAAACCCCAGCCCTGCAATGGACTTGCCCTACCTTTATCCTGTGTGACCCCGGTCTTGTCCTGCCCTGTCCCGGTGGTGACTTGGCCTTGCCATGGTCTGGTCCTCCCATTGCCCTGCCTATCCCTTCCCTGGTTGTGCCCTGGACCTGTCCTGATCCTGACCCCTCCCTGTTCATGTCTTCGATCTGACCCTGGCTCAGCTATGGACCTTCCCATATCCTTCCTCAGCCCTTGCACACGGAGCTGTCATTCAGCCCTGGTACTACCTGGTCCTTCCTTGGGACTTTCCCTGCCCCATGGTCTGGTTCTGGTACTTCCCTGCCTTGCCCTGAGCTGGCCCTGGACCTATGATATTCCTGGCCCTGGCCCTGGCCCTGACCCTGGTCCTATCCTTATCCTGTCCCTGATCTGCATGACCCTGTCCCTGCAAGCTCTGACCTTCCCCTTCCCCTGAAATTGTCCTGCGCTTCCCTGGCTCTGTCTTGGCTCTGGCCCTGCCTTCTTATCAGACTTGCCCTCACCCTGCTCTGGGATGACAACCCCAGGCCTACTCTGTCCATGGTATAGTCTGGCCCTGCACTGCCCTCCTCTGCCCTGGCCCTGCCATGCCCAGAGCCCAGTGTTTTCCCTGGCCCTACTCCTAGTCCTCCCCTGCCATGGTCCTCCCCTGCATTTGGCCAGGCCGTGTGCTACCTTGGTCCTGCTTTGCTCTGGTCCTACCCTTAACCATACTTTGCCCTGGACCTGCCTTTGTCATTTCCTGGTTCTGCACTGGCTCTATCCATGCTCTAGACCTTTCCTGAACCTGGACTTGGACTGGCCCTGTCCTTGATGCAGCCATGCCCTGTCACTGAATCTACCTTATGGCTGACTTGGTCCTGGTCTATCTTGGTCCCATCTTGTCCCTGGACCTTCCCTGGTTATGGTATGGCACTGATCCTGCCTTGTTCAAGCCATGGACCTGACCATGCCCTGGCGATGGCATGGCTTTGCCCTTCACTGGCCCTGTCTTAAACCTGTGCTCTCCTAGTCCTGTGTTAGCTTTGACCTTGCCCTGGCCCTACTCTGGTCTGCTGTGGCCCTCCCTTCCCTTTGTCTTGCCCTGGCCCTGACTCTGGTTCTCACATAGCCCTGTCCTTACCTTAGCTCCTCCGTGGCCCTACCTTTTCCTTGGCCCTTCAGTGACCTTGCCCTTGTCCTGGCTCCTTTCTGGCCCTGTCTTGTTGTGGGCCCTGCTGGGTCCATGTTCTCAGCATGGCCTTCTGTGACCACACTCTGACATCCTCTTGCTGCATTCTTGCTCTACACTGGCCCTATCCTGCCTTTGCTCTGTACTACCCTATCCCTGCCCCTGCCTTGTATTGGTCCTGAACCTGCCCTGGCCTAAGCCCTGGCCGTGCCATGTTCCTGGCTATTTCTGGTTCTGCCCTGTTTCTACTCACCCCTGGCCCTCATCTTTGTCCTTTCATGTCCCTGGCTCTTGCCCTGCCCCTGAATTTTTCCTGGCCATGACCCAACCCTCTTCCTACCCTGGGTCTTGCCCTGCCACAGTTCTGGTCCTATCCAAGCTCTGCTCCTGCCCTAGCACAGTCCTGACTGGGCAATGCCATTTTCCTTGCCCTGCACTGCCAATACGAGGGTGCTAACCCAGCTCTGGTTCTGTCATGGCCCTCACGTGGCCATGGTCCTGATCTTACCCATTCCTCCAGCCATCCTCCTGTCATTCTCTATCCTGGCCCTGTACTGGCCACACCATACCCTGGCCCAGTGTTTGCCCTTGCCCTGATCCTCATCCTTCCCCTACTATGGTCCTACCCTGCATTTGGCCAGGCTGTGCTACTTTAGTCCTACTGCCCTAGCCCTACCCTACCTTGGCCCTACCTTTGGTTTCTCCTGGTCCTGGTTCTGCTCTGGATCAGCTCTTGCCCTGTACCCTAACTGGTCCTGCCCTGATCTGGCCCTGTCCCTCACCCAACCTTGACCTGTCCCTAAACTGGCCCTGGCAACGTACACGCTCTGCAATTACTGTGCCTTGACACTAGACCCACCCTATGTCTGCTTTAACCCTGGCCCCTCCTTGGCTATGCATTTACCTGCCCTGCCCATAGCAATGTGCTGATGCTGCCCATGCCATTGAATTGACCCTGACCTGGCCCTGTCATTCTGTGGTTCTGTCCTGGCACTAGCCCTGCCTTAGTCCTGTGCTATTTTAGTCCTAACTTGTCCCTAACCTTGCCCTAGCCCTACCCTGGCTTGATGTGTCCCTCCCTACTCTGGTCTTCCTCAGTCCTGGCCCTGCCTTTGGCCTCCTCTGACTCAGGTTCTGAACTGGCCATTCTTGCCTTCAACCCTCCCTCCCTGGCTTGCTTTTTCTCTGGCACTTCTTTGGCCTTTTCCTTACCCTTGGCCTTCCCTGTCCCTGCCTCTACTCTGACCCCTATCTGCCCTGCCCTTTCCTTGTCCCTGTACTACACTGGCCCTAGCAGGCCCTACCCCTTACCTGGACCTGGGCCGGCCATGCCTTCACTGTGACCCTGCCTTTTGTCCTGACCTTGGTCCTGACATGACCCCAGGCTTGCCAGTGCTCATGATCCTTGTCCTATTCTAGCTGTGACCTGTACTTGGACATGCCATGGGCCTGATTTGTCCCATCCTTGCCTTGGCCCTTCCCTGCCCTGTCTCCACCACATCCTTGCCTGTTCTGCTCTCTCCCAAGACTGACCTGGCCATGCCATGGTCCAGTAGTGTCATTGCCCTGGCCTATCCTACCATGGTTGTGCCCTGGACCTCATCCCTGCTGGACCTGTCCTCACCCGACCTTGACTTTTTCTCTACTCTGTATGGACTGGCTCTGGATCTGCCCTACCATGGTCCTTCCCTATCCCTGCCATATCCCTGACCATAACCCTGCTCTTATCCAGGCCTGACCCTGACCCTTCCTGGTCCATGACAAGGACCTGGTCCTGCTCTGTACTGGTATAGCCCTTGTCTTGACCCACCCTTCCCTGCTGTGCCCTGGCTGTGTCTTCACCCTGCCCTAGCTCTGCCCTTGACCTACTCTGGCTTAGACCCTGACCTGGCCCTACCTTGACCCTTAACCTAGCTTTGACTAGGCCCCACACGGGACCTGGCCCTAGCCCAGACCTGGTCCTACACTTTGGCTTGCAATAACCCTGAATATGCCATGGTCCTGTACTGGACTTGGAGGTATCCTGGCCCTGAATTGACCTGGACCAGCCTTGGCTTGTCCCTACTTTGGCCCTACCATCGTCCTTCCCTGTTCTGCCCTGTCTTGGCACTGAAATGACACTGCAACATCCCAGTCGTACCAATGCCCTGACCTACCCTGCCTTGCCTGTGCGTGGCCCTGGTCCCACACTTGATTTTCACTGTCCTTTCCTCAGCCCTGGCCCTACCTTAGCACTGTCCCTGCCTTCTCTATGAACCAGCTCTGGCCATGCCCTGCCATGACCCTACCTTGTCACAGTCCTGGCCCTTCCCCCACCCTGGTCCTGATCCTTAACCTACTCAGGCCCTTCCTTAGACTTGCCCCTCTGTTACGGCCCCACCCTGGCAATAACCTACATCCTGGTCCTGGTCCTGCCCTGCTTGAGGTCTTACCCTGGTTCTTCCCTGGTCCTGATCCTGTCTGACCCTGAAATGTCTGGCATTACCCTGGCCTTGCACTGCTCTGGGCCTGACTCTGGCACTGTTACTGCCCTAGCTGCAGCCCAGTTGCTGGTGATGCTATGGTCCTGACCCTGTCCCCAGACCCTGGCCATGCCATGAACCAGCCCTATCCTTGCCCCTGTCCTGTCCCTACTCTGGCCATTCCCTGTCCTTTCCTTGGTCTTGGTACCATCCTGGTTCTGCCTCTGCCTTGGTCCTACCCTAGGTTTGACCCTACCCTGGCCATCACTCAAGAGTTGGCTGGGCCCTGTCATGGACCTGACCACAGCACAGACCCAGCACTTTGGGATGCTGATGCAGACGGATCACTTGAGGTCACAAATTCATGACCAGCCTGATCAATGCTGTGAAACTCTATCTTTACTGAAAATATAAAATGTAGCTGGGCGTGATGGCAGGCACCTGTAATCCCAGCTACTCAGGAGGCTAGCACAAGAAAACTGCTTGAACCCGGGAGGCAGAGGTTGCAGTGAGCCCAGATTTTAACGGGCAAAATAGTTCCAGGTTTCTAAAGCTGAGTGTTCTGAGCAGTAAGCTTTGAATCCTGAAAAATTTACTTACCAGAACATTCTTCAGTGATGTCCAAGAAGTGAGGTGTGTCTGCTCTGCAGAGATGAGTCAGGAGTAGTCAAGAAGCAGGTGGCTTGTCAACTCTGCCACACCAGAAATGATGCTCAGCAGGGCTTAGCAACAGCAGTCTCCCCTCTGAACCCAAAAGGTAAAGTCTAGGAGGAAACAAGAGGGGACTTAGCCATGTTACAGAGGAACTCCTGAGGTTGGGAGGCCCCACAGGAAGGAAAATGCCAGGGAGACAGAAGCTTCTGACCAGTGTTCTCAAGTGGATTGTAATTAAAAAGTAGCTTTGGCAGCCATCCCAGAGCAAGCTCATGAGAGATGGGGTGACACAGCTGCCTGGCAGTTCTGGAGTTAAGCCCAGCCCTGGAGAAGCTGAAGTCCAGGGTGCCACCTGCATCTGCATGGCTGGAATCAACTCCATCACTTATTCTCCTCTTCCCTCCAAACTGTCACTGTAAGATCCTGCTCTGCCACTTACTAGCTGTGTGACCTTAGGCAAGTTACTTAATGTTTCTGCGCCTCTGTAAATGGCAGCTAATATTGTTGTTTATTGTTATCAAAAATGGTTACATTTTTATAGGGTCACACATGGCCATTATCAGTTAGAACTGGGAAAGGCAAACATTTCTTCTGATGCATTAGATGATAAATATTTAGACACTGTAAGCCAACAAGCATTACATATATACATGTATATAGTTCATACATACACAGCTACAAGTACTCAGACACGGGCTCTTTCGCCAATGGCAATGACTTTCTGGCCAAGACTGGATTGATCAGTGGTCCTTCTCATGTGACATTTTCATGTGAAGTGTCAAAGGCTGCTGCCTTCTCTGTCCTGTCATTACACAACACTGAGTGAGCCCACTCTGGTCCCACTCCTGAAACCTCAGGACCGGGATCAGGAAGTGAGAGGCCAGGGGCCTCTCTTGCCCTGAAGTTCTAGCTACAGCCCCAGCTCTGGGCTCACCCAGGGCTCGTGTTTGTGCACTCCCAGGCCAGTGTGGGTTACACTGTGCCCCCCGCTTAGAACACCCAGGGATGCCGAAATGAACCAAATGTTTCAGTGGCCAGAGAGAAAGGCAAAGCTAGTGTGGCCACTCGCTGGGGACTCCCCTGCATCCCTGGGCCAGTGTGGATAGAATGATAGAAAGATAAGAAACCTGAATAGACCAGTTATGGGTAATGCAATTTACATAGTAATGAAAAGTCTCCTGTCAAAGAAAAACACAAGAATCATGGTTTTACTGATGAATTCAATGAAACATTTTTAAAAGAGCTAATACCAATTTTATTCAAAATATTTCCCCAAAAATGAAGAGGAAGGAATATGTCAAAACTTGTTTTATGACGCCAGCACTATTCTGGTACAAAAATCAGACCAAAACAAGACACAAAAAAGAAAAAGGCAAATAAACCTGATGAACACAGATACAAAAAATCCTCAACAAAATACATGAAAACTGCATTTGACAAGACAATAAAAGGATCATCTGCCATGATGAAGTGCGATTCATCTGAGAAACAGGAGGATGATTCAATAAACACAGATACATAAATATGCTACATCACATTCAGCAAATCAAAAAAACCAAACCATATAATCATTTCAGTAGATGCTGAAAAACGTAAAATTCAACAGTCCTTCATAATAAAAATTCAAAAAGCTATTTCACTGCTGCTGCCACCAACAAAAGATACCTAGGGATAACCGGAAAGTTGGAAGATCCCACAACAAAAGCTATAAATCAGATGAAAGTATTAAAGCAGGCACATGTAAATGGAAATATATCCCATGTCCAAGTACTATGAAGAATGTTAAAATATACATTACCCAGTGAGATCTACAGAATCAATGCAATCCACATGAAATTACAAAAGGTATTCTTCATAGAAATAGAAAAAAAAGCATCCTAAAATTCACAGACATCCAAAATACTTCAGATAGACAAAAGAATCATGAATATAAAGAAAAAAGCTAGAAGCATCAAAATACATGATTTCAAAATATATTACAAATCTATAGTAACAAATACAGCATAATACTGGCCAAAAAGGTGCAAGTGAGAGACAGAGAGAGACAGACAGACATAAGAATGACAGACAGACATACACAAATGAAACAGAATAGAGAACTCAGAAATAAATTAATGCCTTTACAGGAAACTCATTTTTAACAAAGGCACCAAGAACACACCTTCGGAAAAGACAATCTCTTCAATAAACTGCTAAGAAAACACAACACCCACATGTACAAGAATAAATCTAGAACGTTATCTTACCAAATACAAAAACCTACTCAAAATAAAGATTTAAATGTAGGACCTGAAACTATGAAACTACTAGAGAAGAAAACATCTTAAATGCTTCATGAAATTCGTTAGGACAAGGGATTTTCAAATAGACATCAAAAGCACAAGCAACAAAAGCAAAAAGAACAAAATGCAATTACATTCAAATTAGAAACTTCTGTGAAGTAGAGGAAGCAATCAGAAGAATGCGGAAACAATCCAGAATATGGAAGTATCTGCAAACTATGCCTCAGGAAAGGGGTTAATACACAAAACAAAGAACTCAAACTACTGAGTTTGAGTTCGTTCCTAATACCTACTGTCCTTCTAGTATTTGCTGTATGTGAAGCTGCAGTAGGCATAGCCCTACTAGTCACAATTTCCAACACATACGGCCTAAGCCGTGTGCAGAACTTAAACTACAGGTGCACACCACCACGCCTGGCTAATTGTTAAATGTATTGTAGAGGTGGGATCTCACTATGTTACGCAGGCTGGTCTCAACCTCCTGGGCTCAAGCAATCCTTCACCCTTAGCCTTCCAAAGTGCTGAGATTACAGATGTGAGCCATTTCACCATTTCACTAATCTTTAGACTAATTAAATTCATTTCCAAAAAATACATGTTTATTATAAAAACAAATTAGGCAATGTGGAAAGATGTAAAACCAAAATCTTTTTCCTTCTTCTCTTCATCTTATGCCCTGGGTGTGAACTCTGCTAATATTTGGTTTGTCTTTCTCACATCCTCTATCTCTTATATAGCTGGGATAATATGTGAGGGTTCACCAATTATGGTTTCCCCATCATCCCACACTCCCTTTTCTCTGGATTCCTCCTCCAATTACCATTTGGGGGAATAGATGCAAGATATCCATTGTTTAGGGAAGCTGTCACAGTGGAATCAGTGAAGAAATATGCCAAATTCTTGAGTTTTAAGACAAGAGTTCTCAACTCAGACATAAGATCCAAAAATTGAACAAATAGTATATTGGCTCAATCAGTTTTTTTCACACTCTTTCCAACCCCAGACTAGATAAAGCTGAGTTGAGGGAAGAGGTGAAATGGGGCGGAAGTAATGATAAAAGCAGTCATGGTCTCCAAGAAGGGATATCCCTGTATCCTACTTAGGGGTTAGATGTAAAGAAGTATGAGAGACTATTATTGAATTCTCCAGATAAAGTTTGGGGATGCAGGTGCAGAAGCGGCAGTGACACACTTCCACCTGGAGGTCTGGGGAGCAGACACCTCTCCCTGAGACTGAGATATAAAGTATATCCCCAAGCCTAGGAGCCAGGCTAAGGAAAAAGAACAATTCTTAATTAACTAAGCTTAAATGTAAAATGCCTGAATTTACCAAGAAATGACCATGACTAATTTTCTGCCACTATGAGAATTGGAGATTCCAAAGAAAGGTAAAATTGTATAATGGAACAATAAGAAAAGTTATATTCTGTACACCCTAAAAATAATTTAAAAATATAAAAAATATTATCCCCAAAATTTGGGATATCATACTACTACCAGCAACATAACTTTTAAAAAATAACAATCTGAATCAACACAGCCACCCATAGCTTATTTATTAGCCTCTTTGCACTATTACGCTTTTGCCAACCCAACAACCCACGCAGCCTCTCACTGACTTTCCTTTCAGACCCATTAACATCCCCTCTTCTAATTTTAACAGCTGATTACTACCCCTTATAATTCTAGCTACTCAACATCACGTAGCCACTGATTCTTTCCCACAAATAGCTCTATACTTCCACACTAATTCTTCTACAAATTTTTCTAATTATAGCATTCACAGCCACAGACCTAATTATATTTTATATTCTATTTGAAGCTACATTAATCCCCATTCTAATCATCACTACCCGCTGAGGGTATCAGCCAGAAGGTCTTAATGGAAGCTCATATTTCTTATTTCATATACTAGGGGATCCCTCTCCTTACTTATTACATTCCTATATATCCAAAACATCTCATCACTAAATATACTAAACAATAACAAATATAACCCAAGAATTATTATGTTCTTGAACTAATAACACCACATTGTTGTCATATATGATGGCTTCCATAGTCAAAATATGTCTATACAGACTTCACCCATGACTTCCCAAAGGCCATGTAGAAGCCCCTATTGCTGGCTCAATAGTACTTGTGGCAGTATTACTAAAATTAGGGGGCTATAGCAAAATACAAATCACCCCGAACCCTCTTTATCCCTGCATTGTCCCTGGACCTTCCCTGGCTACAGTACGGAGCTGACCCTGCTCTGTTTATGCCATAGACCTGACCCTGATCCTGATCTGGCCCTGCCATACCGTGGTTCGAACCTGGCAATGTCCGGGCTCTACCCTTCCCAGGACCTGCCTTTGCCTTGTCCTAGTCCTGCCTCAGCCATGGCCTTTTCCCTGGCCCTCCCCACCCGTTGCCTTCACCTTTCCATGGCCCTGCCTTTTTCTTGGCCATTCTCTGCCCTTGCCCTTGTCATGGCCCCTTTCTGGCCCTGACTTGTTGTGGGTCCTCTCCTGTCCATTTCCCAACCCTGGTATTCCCTGTCCCCGCCCTGCCATCCCTGGGCACTGTCTTTGCTTTATACTGATTTTGCCTTCTCTTGGCTCTGCACTACCCTAGTTCTGCCCTGACCTGGCCCCCAGTTCATCCTGACCTTATCCTGTGCCAAGCCCTGGTACTGCCATGTTCCTGCCTTGGCCTTGATTCTGCACTGCTTTTGACCCTAATCTTGGTCCTATCATGTCCCTGGCTGTGACCCTGTCCCTGGTTTTTCCCTGACCATGCCCAGGTCCTGCCCTAGCACAGCCAACTGGGCACTGTACTCCCTAGTGCCCTGCCCTACAATTCCCATGCCAGGGTGCTGCTCTAACCCTAATACTGTTTGGACCCTGACTTGCCCATGGTCCTCGCCCTGCCATAGCCCTGACTCTAACTTGGCCTGGTCCTGCCCTTTCATTCATTCATGACTGTCATTCTTACTTTGCTTCTGGCCCTGCCCTGGCCACTACCTGCCCTAGCCTTTCCTTGTCTCTCTGCTATGCTGGCTCTGCCATTTCCTGGTTCTGCCTGGGCCCTGCCCTTCTCTGACCTTACCTTGGTCCTGTGCTATCCTAGTCTTGCCTCAACCCTGACATTGCCCTTAGCCTATCCTAGCCTGACATGGGCCTCCCTACACTGGCCATATTCAGCCCTGGTCTTACACTACCCTGGCTGTAATTCTGACCTGGCCCTGCCCTTGTCTTAGCCCCTCCCTGACACTGCCTTGCTGTGGGCCCTGCTGTCCATGTTACCAGCCCTGGGTATCTCTGTCGCTGCCCTGCCATACCCTGACACTGTCCTCACCCTACACTGTCTGCCTTGCTTTGCTTCTGTGCTACCTTAGCCCTGGCTTGCCTAGGCCCTGAGCTTGTCTAACCTTACCTTTTCTTAAGGTCTGACCCTGCCATGTCCCCGGCATTGCTCTGGTTTTTCCCCATGTCTTGACCTCTCCTGGCCCCATCGTGTCCCTAGCTATGACCCTGCCCTTGTTTATTCCCTAGCCATGACCCAGCCCCAGTTTACCCTCGTCCAGTCCTGACTAGGCATTGCTGTACCCACTTCCCTGGCCCTACCCTATCCTTGTCTTGGCCATGTGCTACCCTGTACCTTCCCTGGACTTGTGCTTGCCATGGTTTGATTCTGGCCCTGCTGCTCCTGCTGACTCTGGTCCTGTCATGGCACCCAGCCTGCCAGTGGTCGCTGTCCTGGTCCTGTTCTGGCCCTGACCTGGACGTGGACATGTCCTGAGCCAGCCTGATTTGTCCCAGCCATTCCTGGACCTGTCTCTGCCCTAGTCTATCAGGTCCCTGCATATACTGCCCTTTCCTGGCACTGCCATGGCCCAGTCATGGCATTACCCAGTCTTACCCTACACTGGTTGTGCCCTGTTTCTGGCCTGCCCTAGCCCCTTCCTGGATTTGCACTGACCCTGACTTGGCTTTTGCTCTGCCCTCTCTATGGTCAGGCTCTAGCCCTGTCTTGCCCTTCCCTGCAATGGTGCTACTCTGTCCTTATCCAGATCCTGAGCCTGCCCTGGTCTGGACCCTGGCCCTTCCCTTGCTCTTCCTTGCCCCACCATGTCCTGGTCTTGCCCTCACCCTACACTGACCCTTCATCGGCCCTCTCTGCATTGGCCTGCCCCTGGCCCTGAGTGTGCCTTCTCCCTGGCCTTGCCTTGGCCCTACTCTGTCATCCTCTAACCTGGGCCTGTATTTGCCCCACTATACCCTGGCCCTGTTCCTAGGCCTGCCCCTGCTATGACCATGCCCTGCTTTTGGCAATACCCTGTGCTACCTTACTACTGCTCTGCCCAGGCCCTATCCTGCCCTGACCCAACTCTGACTGGGCACTGCACTACTCTGGCCCTTCCCTGCCCAACCCCATCCATGTCCAGAACCTGCTCTGGCCCTGTCTCTGGTCCTACCATGGCTCTGACCCTGCCACCAGTCCTGCCATAGCCCTGACCCTGACTTGTCCCTGTCCTACCCTGGCCTTTCTTTGGCCCTGTGCTACACTGGCCCAGCCCCAGCATGCACTGCCTCTTCCCTGGACCTGGGCTGGCCGTGCCTTCATCTGACCCTGATTTTTGTCCCAACCTTGGTCCTGACATGACCCCAGGCTGTCAGAGGTCATAGTCCTGGTCCTGTTCTGACCATGACCTAGACTTGGACATGTCATGTGCCTGATGGGTCCTGTCATTGCCATGGCCCATCCCTGCCCTGTCCCCACCATGGCCTTGCCTGCTCTGCTCTCTCCCAGGACTGACCTGGCCCTGCATTAGCCTAGTCATGTAATTTTCCTGGCCTACCCTTCCCTGGTTATGTCCTGGCCCTGGTCCCTCCCTATACCTGCCCTAACCCTGCCTTGGCTTTTCTCTACCCTCTCTATGGACTTCCTCTGGACCTGCCCCACCATGGTTCTGCCCCGTCATTGCCATATCCCTGACCCTATCACTGCCCTTATCCTGACCTTGACCCTTCCCTGGTCTCTGGTCCTTCCAAGGACCTGTCATGACTCTGCCAAGGCCCTAGGCCTGGTTTGTCCTAGTATAGCCCTTGTCTTAAACCACCCTTCCCTGACATGTCCTGTCTCTGTCCTCAGCCCCCAGACCCTGCGATTGTCCCTTAACCTAGCCTTAACTAGGCCCTGCTCTGGACCTGACCCTGGTCCTATACTTTGGCCTGGTATTACCCTGGACCTGCCCTGTCATGAACTGGACTTGGAGGTATCCAGGCACTGAAGTGACCTGGTTTCAGCCTTGGATTGTCCCTGTCCCGGCTCTACCATCATCCTGCCCTGCTCTGCCCTGTCTTGGCACTGAAATGGTCCTGCAACAGCCCAGTTATACCAATGCCCTGCCCTACACTTTCCTGGCTCTTCCCTGGTCCTGGTCCTGCCCTCGATATGCCTTGACCCTTCTCAGCCCTGGTACTAGCTGGCACTAGCCTGGCTCTACCTTGACATTGGTCCTGTCCTGTCTATGAACCAGCTCTGTCCCTGCTGCACCATGACCCTGCTCTGTCACAGCCCTGGCCCTGGCCCTTATCCTGCTCAGGTCCTTCCCTAGCCTTGCCCCTCTGTTATGGCCCTGACCTGACCCTAACCTAGACCCATCCCTGGTCTTTCCCTGCTTAAGGCATTACCTGGTTCTGTACTGGTCCTGATCCTGTCCTGACCCTGAAATTCCTGGAATTACCCTGGTCTTGCACTACTCTGGCCCTGACCCTGGCTGTCACTGTCCTAGACCGAGCTGTTGCCAGTGCTGCTATGGCCCTGATCATTTCCCTGGACTCTTGCCATGCCATGAAGCTGCACTGTCCTTACCCTTGTTCTGGCACTGCCCTGGCCATTCTCTGTCCTTTCCCTTGCCTTGGCATCACCCTGGCCCTGCTCTGCCTGCCTTGTCTCTGTATAGGCCACACCCTAGGTTTGACCCTGCCCTGGCTGTCACCCTAGACTTGGTTGGGTCCTGTCTTGGACCTGGCCATAGCACAGACCCAGCAATTTGGGAAACTGAGGCAGGTGGATCACCTGAGCTCAGGAGTTCAAGACCAGCCTGACCAACATGGTGAAACTCTGTCTTTACGGAAAATGTAAAACTTAGCTGGGTGTGGTGGCAGGCACCTGTAATCCCAGCTACTCAGGAGGCTAGCACAAGAAAATTGCTTGAAGCCGGGAGGCAGAGGTTGCAGTGAGCTGAGATTATGCCACTGCACTCCAGCCTTGGCAGTAAGAGTAAGACTTTTACAAAAAAAAAAGTTTTAATGTGCAAAATAATTCCAAATTTCTAAAGTTGAGTGTTCTGAGCACTAAGCTTTGATTCCTGAGAAACGTACTTACCAGAACATTCTTCAGTGATGCCCAAAAAGTGAGGTGTGTCTGCTCTGCAGAGATGAGTCAGGAGTAGTGAAGAAGCAGGTGGCTTGTCAACTCTGCCCACCAGAAACGACGCTCAGCAGGGTTTAGCAACAGTAGTCTCCCCTGTGAACCCACAAGGTAAAGTCTAGGAGGAAACCAGAATGGAGTTAGCCAAGTTACAAAAGAACGGCTGAGGCTGGGCGGCCCCATGGGAAGGAAAATGCCAGAAACATAGAAGCTCTGGTCACAGTGTTCTCATGAGGATTTTTATTAAAAAGAAACTTTGGCAGCCATCCCAGAGCAACCTCAAGAGGAGATATTGGGGTCACAGAGCTGCCTGGCAGTTTTGGAGTTATGCACAGACCTGGAGAAGCTGAAGTCCAGGGGGCCACCTGCATCTGCATGTCAGTAATCAAGTGTATCACTTATTCTCCTCTCCCTCCAAACTGTCACTGCAAGATCCCACTATGCCACTTACTAGCTGTGTGACCTTAGGCAAGTTACTAAACATTTCTGAGCCTCAGTAAATGGTAGCTAATATTGTTTATTGTTAATAAAAGTGGTTAAATCTTTACAGGGTCATGCACAATCATAAGCAGGTAGCACTGGGAGAGGCAAACATTTCTTATGACATGTTAGATGGTAAATATTTTAGATACCATAAGCCAAACAGCATTATATATATGTATATATTTCATACATACATAGCTACAGGCACTCAGACAGTGGCTCTCTCAACAATGGCAATGCCTTTCTGACCAAGACTGGATTGATCAGTGGTTCTTATGCCACATTTTCATGTGAAGTGTTAAAGGCTGCTGTATTCTCTGTCCTGTTATTACACAACATTGAGTGGGCCCACTCTGGCCACACTCCTGGAACCTCACCACCAGAACCAGGAAGTAAGAGGTCAGGGTCCTCTCCTTCCCTGAAGTTCTAGCTGCAGCCCCAACTCTGGGTTCACCCTGGAGCCCTGTGTTGGTGCATTCCTAGGTCAGGGAAGGCTACACTCTGCCCCCCACATGACACCTGGGGATACTGAGATAAACCAGATGTGTCAGTGGCTAGAGAGAAGGGCAGCAGCTAGTGTGGCCACTTGCTGGGGCCTCCACTGCTTCCCTTGGTTGGTGTGGAGAGAATAATAGAAAAATAAGAAACAGAACAGACTAATTATGGGTAATGCAACTAAAGTAGTAATAAAAAGTCTCCCATCAAAGAAAAGCACAAGAATCATGGTTTTACTACTGAATTCAATGAAACATTTTTAAAAGAGCTAATACCAAATATACTCAAAATATTCCCCCAAAAATAAAGAGGAAGGAACACTTCCAAACTTGTCCTATGAGGCCAGCCCTGGTACAAAAACCAGACCAAAACACAACACAAAAGCAAACCACAGGCAAATATCCCTGATAAACACAGATGCAAAAAATCCTCAACCAACTATTTGAACACCGCATTTGACAAGACAATAAGCAGATCATCTGCCACGATTTAGAGGGATTCATCTGAGAAATATGAGGGCAATTCAATAAACCCAAATAAGTAAATGTGCCACACCACATTCAGCAAATCAAGAAAAAATATATCATCATTTCAGTAATGCTGAAAAAAATAAAATTCAACGTTCCTTCGTAATTCAAGAAAGCTGTTTCATTATTTCTACCACCCAAAAAAGATACCTAAACACAACAAAAAATTTGGAAGATCCCACAATGAAAATGATAAAAGAGACAAGATATCAAAACAGACACGTTGGAAAGATCGCCCATGTCCAAGCACTAGAACATTAAAATATCTATCACCCAATGTGATCTGCAGAATCAATGCAATTCATGTGAAATTACAAAAGACATTCTTCATGGAAACAGAAAAAAAATCCTAAAATTCACATAGAAATGCAAAATATCTCAGATAGATAAAAGAATCATGAACAAAAAGAAAAAAACTGGAAACATCACAATACCTGATTTTAAAATGTATTATAAATCTTTAGTAACAAAAACAGCATGGTACTGGCCATAAAAGTGGCAAGGGAGAGACAGACAGACACACAGACATAGAGAACTCAGAAATAAATTCATGCATTTAAAGTCAACTCATTTTTAGCAAAGGCACCAAAAACACACCTTTGGAACAGACAGTCTCTTCAATAAACTGTGCTAGGACAACACAACACATACATAATAAACGGTCAAGAATAAATCTAGACCGTTATCTTACCAAATACAAAAATCTACTCAAAATAAAGATTTAAATGTAGGACCTGCGACTATGAAACTACTAGAGAAGAAAACAGTATAAATCCTTCATGAAATTGGTTAGGACAAGGGATTTTCAAATACACATCAAAAGCCACAGCAACAAAAGCAAAAAGCGTCAAACAATTGCATTAAACACAGAAGCTTCTGCAAAGTAGAGGAAGCAATCAGAATGAAGAAAATTCAGAATATGGAAGAATTTGCAAACTATGCCATCAGGCAAGCAGCTAATACAGAAAACATATAAAGAATTCAAACTTCTCCAAAGCAAAAAATACAAATAACCTTATTTAAAAATCAGAAAAAGATCTACCCAAACCCTCTGTCCGTCCCCCAGCATTATTTTTCCATCTTCTTTTCCCAACAGCCTTTGGCCCTTCCCTCTCGCCAGCCTTTTTCTTTCTCCATCTACCCCAAAGCTTTTTCCACATTTTCCCCCACTGTCATTTCACAAAGACTTCTCTACTCTCTTGCTCACTACAGTTTTCCCCACTCATCTACCCCAAAACTTTTATACACCGTTTTCCCCCACTGTATTTTCTTCCTCTTTCCTACCCTCTTTCCTGCCTCACTCTCATCCCGTTTGCTCCTCTATCTACACAAAAATATTTTCCCCATCTTTTACCAACCAAAGCCTTCTCACCACTCCTGCTCAGCACCCTCTTTTCCCCCTTCATCTCCCCAAAACTGTTTGCCCCATCATCTTTTTCCCCTTTCCTTCTTGCCACCCTCTTTCCCTTCTCCATCTATCCCAAAACATTTCCTCACCATCTTTTTTGCAAAGCCTTCCCCACTTCCCACTCACCCTCTTCTTCCCCTTATCCTGCTTGCCACGTCTTTGCCCTCTACGCTATTTTTCCCATCTTCTTTTTCCCATCCCTCTTTCTGCACTCCCTCTGGCCACCCCCTCTTTTCTCTTCCCACTTGCCACCCTCTTCCCCCTCCATCTATCCACTTTATCCACTGTCTTTTCTTTCTGCAGTCTTTCTTTCCTGCCCATCGTCTATTTGCAAAACCTTTTCTCCTCCCCACTCGCCACCCTCTTTTCTCTCTTCATCTACGTAAAAAATTTTCTCCCCTTCTTTTCGCAAAACCTTCTCTCCCTCCTGCTTGCCCACTTTCTCTTCCCCCCCTCCCTCTTTGCATCACCTTTCCTTCTCCCACTTGTCCCCCTCTTCCCTTCTGCATCTGCCCAAAATCTTTTTACGCACTGTCTTCTTTCCTCCCGTATTTTTTCAGACCTTCTCTCCCTCCTGCTCACCCCCTGGTTCTCCCCTCACCATCCTCTCATTCCTCCTGTCACTTGCCACTCTCTTTTCCCCTTCCATCTACCCAAAAACGTTTCCCCACCATCTTTTCACAAAAGCTTCTCTCCCTCTTCCTCGCCCCCTGCTTCCCCCCTCACCATCCTCTCATTCCTCCTCTCACTTGCCACTCCATTTTCCCCTTCCATCTACCCCAAAATAGTTTTCCCACCATCTTTTCCTCACCGTCTTTTTTCAACATCTTATCCTGTTCGCCATCCTCTTTGTCCCTTCGGCAATAACCACCCTCCTTAGCCCTCCCACCTCACCCCAAACTCGTTTCCCCTCCTACCGCTCCAGGGGCATGCGTCCGTGGCTACCGCCAACCACAGTGAGGTGAGCTGCAGCAAGGCGAACCGAACCGCAGTACTGCAAACTCCAGCTTCCAGCAGGCGGCAGCTGGCTCTCCCGTCTTCTACTCCTCTAAGCCCAGCACCGAGGAGCACAGCCGACACACACAGAAAAGCCTAGAATGGAGTGCCTGCCCAACAGAGCCATTTATATACTGAGGTTATGCACAGAGGTTCCTGAACTACACAGTCTCATTGGATGAAAACAAGTCTGAGGCCAGCCAATCAGAGCATGAAAATAAAACCCAATCAGAGTAGGCCTAAAGGTTTCCTCTCATCCAATCAGAACATGTAGTCCAGGAACCATGGGCAAAACCTCAGTATATAAGGCATTCTGAGGCCGCCTCACGCTGTTCCAGGCTCTTGTGTATCTTCTAGCGGAGACACTGTGTTCACGGCTTAGAGGACCAGGAGAAGGGGCGGCAGAGCCACCTACTGCACGCTGGAGGCTGCAGCCTGCTGTACCGCGGCTGGCGCCTCGCTGCAGTGGGTGGTGGTGACGGAAACTGCAGCGGCTGGAGCGGTAGGAGGGCGTAGGGGAGCAGGCTGGAGTGGTAGGAGGGCGGCCAGAGCGGTAGGGGAGCGGGCTGGAGCGGTAGGAGAGCGGCCGGAGTGTTAGGGGAGCGGGCTGGAGCAGTAGGAGGGCGGCCGGAGCGTTAGGAGGGCAGTTGGAGTTGTAGCAGAGCGGGATGGAGCGGTAGGAGTGCAGCCGGAGTGGTAGGGGAGCGGGCTGGAGCGGTAGGAAGGCAGCCGGCCGGAGTGATAGGAGGGTGGCTGGAGTCAAAGGGGAGAGACCTGGAGCGGTAGGAGGGTGGCCGGAGCGGTAGGGGAGCGGGTTGGAGCGGTAGGAGGGCGGTTGGAGCGGTAGGGGGCGGCTGGAGCAGTAGGGGAGCAGGTTGGCGTGGTAGGAGTGCAGCCGGAGCGGTAGGGGAGCGAGCTGGAGGGGTAGGAGGGTGGCCGGAGTGGTAGGAGGCCGGCGTCATAGGGGAGCAGGCTGGAGTGGCAGGAGGGAGGTCAGAGTCATAGGGGAGCGGACTGGAGCAGTAGGAAGGAGGCCGGAGTGGTAGGGGAACCGGCTAGAGCAGGAGGAGGGTGGCAGGAGTCGTAGGGGAGCTGCCTGGAGCGGTAGGAGGGCAGCCGGAGTTCTAAAGTAGCGGGCTAGAGGTAGGAGGGCGGCCAGAGTCATCGGGGAGAGGGCTGGAGCGGCAGGAGGGCGACTGGAGTCATAGGCGAGCGGATTGGAGCGGTAGGAGGGCAGCTGGAGAGGTAGGAGGGCGGTCGGAGTCATAGGCAAGCTGGCTGGAGCGGTAGGAGGGCGGCTGGAGAGGTAGGAGGGCGGCCGGAGTCATAGGTGAGCGGGCTGGAGCGGTAGGAGGGCGGCTGGAGTCATAGGCGAGCAGGCTGGAGCGGTAGGAGGGCGGCTGGAGCGGTAGGAGGGCGGCTGGAGAGGTAGGAGGGCGGCCGGAGTCATAGGCGAGGGCGAGCATAGGCGAGCGGGCTGGAGCGGTAGGAGGGCGGCTGGAGTCATAGGCGAGCGGGCTGGAGCGGTAGGAGGGTGGCTGGAGAGGTAGGAGGGCAGCCGGAGTCATAGGCAAGCTGGCTGGACCAGTAGGAGGGCGGCTGGAGAGGTAGGAGGGCGGCCGGAGTCATAGGCGAGCGGGCTGGAGCGGTAGGAGGGCGGCTGGAGTCATAGGCGAGCGGGCTGGAGTGGTAGGAGGGCGGCCGGAGCGGTAGGAGGGCGGCCAGAGCGGTAGGAGGGCGGCTGGAGCGGTAGGGGAGCGGGCTGGAGTGGTAGGGGAGCGGGCTGGAGCGGTAGGAGGGCGGCCGGAGCGGTAGGGGAGCGGCCGGAGCGGTAGGAGGGCGCTCAGAGAGGTAGGGGAGCGGGCTGGAGCAGTAGGATGGCAGCCTGAGTGGTAGGAGGGCGGCTGGAGCGGTAGGAGGGCGGCCGGAGTCATAGGCAAGCTGGCTGGAGCGGTAGGAGGGCGGCTGGAGAGCTGGAGAGGTAGGAGGGCGGCGGGAGTCATAGGTGAGCGGGCTGGAGCGGTAGGAGGGCAGCTGGAGTCATAGGCGAGTGGGCTGGAGTGGCAGGAGGGCGGCTGGAGTCATAGGCGAGCAGGCTGGAGCGGTAGGAGGGCGGCTGGAGAGGTAGGAGGGCGGCCGGAGTCAAGGCGAGCGGGCTGGAGCGGTAGGAGGGCGGCTGGAGTCATAGGCGAGCGGGCTGGAGCTGTAGGAGGGCGGCTGGAGTCATACGCGAGCGGGCTGGAGCGGTAGGAGGGCGGCTGGAGAGGTAGGAGGGCGGCCGGAGTCATAGGCGAGCGGGCTGGAGCGGTAGGAGGGCGGCTGGAGTCATAGGCGAGCGGGCTGGAGCTGTAGGAGGGCGGCTGGAGTCATACGCGAGCGGGCTGGAGCGGTAGGAGGGCGGCTGGAGAGGTAGGAGGGCGGCCGGAGTCATAGGCGAGCGGGCTGGAGCGGTAGGAGGGCGGCTGGAGTCATAGGCGAGGCGAGCGGGCTGGAGCTGTAGGAGGGCGGCTGGAGTCATATGCGAGCGGGCTGGAGCGGTAGGAGGGTGGCCGGAGCGGTAGGAGGGCGGCTGGAGCGGTAGGGGAGCGGGCTGGAGTGGTAGGGGAGCGGGCTGGAGCGGTAGGATGGCAGCCTGAGTGGTAGGAGGGCGGTCGGAGTGGTAGGAGGGCGGCTGGAGCGGTAGGGGAGCGGCTGGAGAGGTAGGAGGGCGGCTGGAGTCATAGGCAAGCTGGCTGGAGCGGTAGGAGGGCTGCTGGAGCGGTAGGAGGGCAGCTGGAGTCATAGGCGAGCGGGCTGGAGCGGTAGGAGGGCGGTCGGAGTGGTAGGAGGGCGGCTGGAGCGGTAGGGGAGCGGGCTGGAGGGGTAGGAGGGCAGTCGGAGAGGTAGGGGAGCGGGCTGGAGCGGTAGGAGGGCGGCTGGAGAGGTAGGATGGCGGCCGGAGTCATACGCGAGCGGGCTGGAGCGGTAGGAGGGCGGTAGGAGGGCGGCTGGAGCGGTAGGGGAGCTGGCTGGAGTGGTAGGAGGGCGGCTGGAGCGGTAGGGGAGCTGGCTGGAGTGGTAGGAGGGCGGCTGGAGCGGTAGGGGAGCGGGCTGGAGTGGTAGGAGGGCGGCTGGAGCGGTAGGGGAGCGTGCTGGAGCTGTAGGAGGGTGGCCAGAGCGGTAGGGGAGCGGGCTGGAGTGGTAGGAGGGCGGCCGGAGCGGTAGGGGAGCGTGCTGGAGCTGTAGGAGGGTGGCCAGAGCGGTAGGGGAGCTGGCTGGAGTGGTAGGAGTGCAGCTAGAGCTGCAGGGAAGCGGGCTGGAGCAGTAGGAGGGCGGCAGGAGCGGTAGGGGAGCAAGCTGGAGTCGTAGGGGAGCGGGCTGGAGCGGTAGGAGGGTGGCCGGAGTCGTAGGGGAGTGAGCTGGAGCCTTAGGAGAGCGGCGGAGTCATAGGGGAGCGGGCTGGAGCGGTGGAAGGTGGCCGGAGTTGTAGGGGAGCGGGAGCGGGCTGGAGCGGTAGGAGGGCGGCGGAGTCGTAGGGGAGCGGGCTGGAGCGGTGGGAGGGCGGCCGGAGTCGTAGGGGAGCGGGCTGGAGCGGTGGGAGGGCGGCCGGAGTCGTAGGGGAGCGGGCTGGAGCGGTAGGAGGGCGGCGGAGTCGTAGGGGAGCGGGCTGGAGCGGTGGGAGGGTCGCCAGAGCGGTAGGGGAGCGGGCTGGAGCGGTGGGAGGGTCGCTGGAGTGGTAGGGGAGCGGGCTGGAGCAGTAGGAGGGCGGTTGAAGCAGTAGGAGGGCGGTTGGAGCGGTAGGGGTGCAGGTTGGCACGGTAGGAGTGCAGCTGGAGCGGTAGGGGAGTGGGCTGGAGCGGTAGGAGGGCGGCCGGAGTCGTAGGGGAGCGGTCTGGAGCGGTAGGAGGGTGGCGGGAGAGGTAGGGGAGCGGGCTGGAGGGTTAGGAGGGCGGCCGGAGTGGTAGGAGGGCGGCCGGAGTCATAGGGGAGCAGTGGTAGAAGGGAGGCCAGAGTCAGACGGGAGTGGGCTGGAGGGGTAGGAGAGTGGTTGGAGTCATAGGGGAGCGGGCTGGAGGGATAGGAGGGTGGCCGGAGTCTTAGGGGAGTGGGTTGGATCAGTAGGAGGGCGACCGGAGGGGTTGGGGAGCGGGCTGGAGCGGTAGGAGGGTGGCCGGAGGGTAGGAAGACAGCTGGAGTGGTAGGAAAGCGGGCTGGAGTGGTAGGAGGGCGACCTGAGTGGTGGGCGAGCAGGCTGGAGCGATAGCTCGAAGGTGCAGGGTTTTCAGAACAGGATTTCTGGGAGCAGCCCCTCGATGATTACGGGGCAGGGGTTACTCTTATCACTTGTAGGGCACTTGGACCGGGTACCTGATGCCCAAGGCTTCCCCTGTGGGTGAGAGGCAGGGTCCTGCTGGTCGGCAGTGAGAGCCAGTGTGGGGCGTGTGTACATGGGATTTCACGCATGTGATGGAAAGGCATCCATGCAGAAGAGTGAGAACGATGTGAAAGTGTTGTAGCACCGTGGAAACGTATAGGCATTACAATCTGAGCTATTTGATCAGAAAATAAAACAATAGGCCAGCAGGGTGACTCATGCCTGTAATCCCAGCATTTTGGGAGGCCAAGGCGGGAGGACCACTTGAGTCTAAGAGTTTGAGTTCAGCCTGGGAGACATAGCAAGACCCTGTCTCTCCTAAGAATTTCTTTTAAAAAGCTGGGCATGGTGGTGCATGCCTGTGGTTCCAGCCACTTGGGAGGCTGAGGATTGCTTGAGCCCAGGAGTTTGATGCTATAGTGAACCATGATCACACCACTGCACTCGAGCATGGGTGACAGAGAGACTATCTGAAAGGAAAAAAGAAAGAAGAAGCCACACCAACATGCTACCATGTCCTATGCTCCTCTTTTTTTTTTTTTTTTTTTTTTTTTTAAAGACAATTTCACTATGTTGCCCAGGCTAAAGTGCAGTAGGGCGATCTCAACTCACTGCAACCTCTGCCTACCAGGTTCAAACGATTTTCCTGCCTCAGCCTCCTGAGTAGCTGGGATTACAGGTGGCCACCACGACACTCAGCTAATTTTTTGTATTTTTAGTAAAGAGGGAGTTTCATTAAGTTGACCAGGCTGGTCTTGAACTCCTGATCTCATGATCTGCCCACCTCAGCCTCCAAAAGTGCTGGGATTGTAGGTGTGAGCCACCAAGCCCAGGCTTTTTTTGTTTTTTTTTTTGGATAGTTTCACTTCTGTTGCTCAGGCTGGAGTGCAATGGTGTGATCTCAGTTCACTGCAACCTCTACTTCCCAGGCTCAAGCAATTCTCCTGCCTCACCCTCCTGAGTATCTGGGACCACAGGAGTGCACCACCGCACCTGGCTAATATATTTGTATTTTTGGTTGAGACGGGGTTTTGCCATGTTGCCCAGGTGCAAGGCTCATGAGTACAGTTCCTGTTTCATTCACCGCAGTATCCCCAGTGCCTGAGACATGCCTGGCATTTGGGTAAATCCTCAAGAAATATGTGTAAGGGAGTGAATAGTTTCGGCTGGAAGTGGGAAGCCTCCCACTTCGCTGTCCACAGTGTCTGCGTGTCCCTCCCCCGGGGGTGTTCCACTGCTCACTGTATTTCCTATTGAAAATGTCCTGGACCTGCTCCCTCAGTGTGTGGGTGATGTGGATCTGGGAGAGCCTCATGTTGTAACTTTCTGCAAAGCATAAAACAACTATGGGTTTGGGCTGTTCAGTGAAAAGGCACTTAGGGAATTTTAAAGAATATGATTTTCTAATTATGGGAAACTCCTTCTCTGGCAATTAATGGATCTTTAGAGTGGGCCCCTCAGGTCCTTCAGCACCAAGGTGTTGATGGAGACATGTTTTTTCCAGAAGGACATGCACTGTCGTCACAACGGTGATGAGCTGGAAATTAATTGCTGACATTTGAAAACCACCAAACCAATACATAAGTCCCAGAGGTGAGGGACACTGGAGAGTGGATTCTTGTGCCCCAGGCTGGTGGGTAGGGAATGGGGGCTTTATGAAGTCCCTAGAGAGCTGGAGAAAAGGGAAAGAACACAAGCTCAGCTAACTCAGCAGGTGGTGGGGGACAGGCAGTCCCCACAGACACGGGGTGGGCCTGGCAGCTCCCAGTGGGCACTCACTCACCCAGAGGGTGTTCATTAAAGACCACCAAGTATGGCCAGGAACAGTGGCCTATGCCTGTAATCCCAGCGCTTGGGGAGGCCACGGTAGGAGGATCACCTGAGGTCAGGAGTTGGAGACCAGCCTGGCCAACGTGGTGAAACTAGAAATACAAAAATGAGCTGGGCATGGTGCTGTGAACCTGTAATCCCAGCTACTAGGGAGGCTGAGGCAAGACAATTGCTTGAACCTAGGAGGTGGAGGGTGTAGTGAGCCAGGATCATACCCCACATGCCAGCCTGGGCAACAGAGTGAGACTCTATCTCAGGAAAAACAAAAACAAAAGCTGGGCACAGTGGCTCACACACCTGTAATTTCAGCACTTTGGGAGGTGGATCATCTCAAGTCAGGAGTTCAAGACCAACCTGTCCAGCATGGTGAAACCCTGGCTCTACTAAAAAAATATAAAAAATTATCCGGGCTTGGTGGTTCACACCTGTAATTTCAGCACTTTGACAGGCTGAGGCAGCAGGATCACGAGGTCAGGAGTTCGAGACCAGTCTGACCAACATGGTGAAACCCTGTCTCTACAAAGAGTACAAAAATTAGCCGGGTGTGGTGGTGGGTACCTGTAATCCCAACTACTCAGGAGGCTGAAGCAGGAGAGTTGCTTGAATGCTTGAACCTAGAAGGCAGAGGTTGCAATGAGCGGAGATTTTGCCTCCAAACTCCAGCCTGGTCAACAAGAGTGAAACTCTGTCTCAAAATAAGGCAAGTGCCAGCATGTACTGGGGGATCCCGGACCGCCATGAGCCCCTGACTGCAGGGCAGGGAGAAAGGAGGGGAGGAGGGAGTGACTCTGGGCACACTTGGGCCAGGCTTGTAGTGAGGGTCTCAGTCTGCTAAGGGGGCGGGGTATGAGGAGCTGTGGTGAGGAGAGTCATGAACTCCCCCAGTCATGGAATGTCCCAGAACAGCTGTGCAGAAAAGAGTATGAGAGACCAGAGGCAGAAAGCAGCTGCTCTCTGGGCCTTGGGCCCCTCTCTCTGGGCTCCCCCACCCCCAGTGACTCTTCCCACCACCAGTCTTGTCAACCCCTTTCTCCTCAGTACTAGAGGGTGGCCACACAGTCACCGTCTACTACTCACTTGCAGCCACACCCTGGCTCCTCAGAGCAGCCCCAACATGGGGGCTCCACAGGGCATCACCTGTCTCCCAGCTCAGACCCTGGCACCTTCCTGCTGCTCGATCCTCTTCTTGCCTTTCCTCAAGTGTCTCCCTGCTTCCACTCCTCTCCTTCCTTGCTTACTTCCACCTCCTGCCTCCCAGCCCAGCCCCAACCTTTTCCACCTGACCTTAGTGACACACCCCTCCCTCCCTCCTTTCCTTCCTTTCTTCTGTGCCTCCCTTCCACTATTTCTCTCCTCTCTTTCTTTCCTTATTTTTCCTTTCTTCATTCATTCCTTTTTCTTTCTTTTTTTCTTCCTCCCTTCCCTTCCCCTTCCACTTCCCCTTCCACTTCCCCTTCTCCTTTCTTCCTTCTTTCTTTCCTTCCCTCCTTCCTTTTTCCTTCCTCCCTCCCTTCCTTTCCCACTTCTTTCTTTCTCTTTACTTCCTTTCTTCCTTTTTCTTTTTCTTTTTTTCTTCTTTCTTTCTCTTTCTTTCTTCCTCCCTTCCCTTTGCACTTACACTTCCCGTTCTCCTTCCTGCCCTCCTTCTTCCTTTCCTCCCTTCCTTCCTTTCCTACTGAGGAGTCTCTACGTGTTGTCAGAGACATCTCCTCTTCATCAACTCCCTGTGACCCCTGTTTCTCAGACTTGGAGGGAAATAAGGGCACACAAATTGTGACCATGGAGGTGGGGCAGCTAGGAAGAACAGGGAGTGTCTGAGGTAGTGATTCTCCTACCTCAGCCTCCCAAGTAGCTGGGATTACAGGTGTGTGCCACCACAGGCAGCTAATTTTTGTATTTTTTTTCAGTAGAGATGGATTTTACCATGTTGGCCAGGCTGATCTCTTGAACTCCTGAGCTCAGGTGATCTGCCCACCTCAGCCTGCCAGAGTGCTGGGATTATAGGCATAAGCCACTGCGCCCAGCCTAATTTTAAAATTTTTAACTTTTTTTTTTTTTTTAGACAGAATTTTGCTCTTGCCACCCAGGCTGAAGTGCAGTGGCACTCGGCTCAGTGCAACCTCTGCCTCCCAGATTCAAGCAATTCTCCTGCCTCAGTCTCCACAGTAGCTGGAACTACCGCCTCCCAGATTCAAGCAATTCTCCTGCCTCAGTCTCTGCAGTAGCTGGAACTACAGGTATGTGCCACACCCAGCTAATTTTTGTATTTTTTAGTAGAGACAGGGTATTACCATGCATGTGGCCAGGATGTTCTCAATCTCCTGATCTTGTGGTCCACCCATGTTGACCTCCCAAACTGCTGGCATTACAGGCGTGAGCAACCACACCTGGCCAAATTTTCTCTGTTTAATTGTCTTTAGAGACGAGCTCTTGCTCTGTCACCTAGGCTGGAGCGCAGTGGCTCAGTAATAGTTCACTGCAGCCTTAAACTCCTGGACTCAAATGATCTTCCCACCTCAGCTTTCTGAGTAGGTAAGACCGCAGGTGTGCACCACACCCTGCAAAGATTTTACATTTTTTTGTAGTAACGGGTTTTCACTATGTGGCACGGTCTGGTTGAACTCCCAGCCTCAAGTGATCCTACCATCTTGGCCTTCCGAAGTGCTGGAATTACAGGCTTGAGCCACCGTACCTGGCCTTGAGTACAGAATTTCCTTAGGGGGTGACGAAAATGCTCTAAAATCGGTGATGGGTGTGCACTAAAGTGTGAGTGATATCTCAGCAAAGTTGGTTTATTTATTTAAAACAGCAACAGGCTGGATGAAGTTGCTCATGCCTGTAATCCCAGCACTTTGGGAGGCCAAGGTGGGTGGATCATCTGAGGTCAGGAGCTTGAGACCAGCCTGGCCAACATGATGAACCCCTGTTTCTGTTAAAAGTACGAACAATTAGTAACTTGAATGAGGGGCAGGGTATCCCACCTGCTCTGAGCAGCTCTTTATGAGCCCCAGCTATTTCTGGGGTCCTCAAATGAAACCTCCCAAGTCATACCCAAGTCATTCCCAACATGGGCCTCCTCCCCTTTTCTAGCCCCCTGCTGGGAGATGCTGAGTGACAGAGGCTCAGGCTTTGGGTATTCCTGGCAAAGCCTCACCCCAGGAGCCCCACAGCTCAGGCCCAGTCCATGGTTCACATGGCCCCATTTCGTCCTCTTTTTCCTTTGAGAGCAATTTGTCCCTGAGAGATCCCTGGATCCCTCATTCAGGTGCAGTGCTGTAGGGCAACACTTCTTCCCGGGGACCCAGGCCTGCAGTGTCCCAGTGTCACTGGCAGGCCTTGACCTGGCCTCCACCTGAGTCCCTGCTCCTCCTCTCCCACAGGGAACATGACATCCTCTTCCCAGGGTACACCCACCTGCAGAGGGCCCAACCCCATCACTGGAGCCACTGGATTCTGAGGTGAGCTGGGTGAGTTGCTGGGGCTGTACTGGATGGGAGGACCCTGGCTGCCCTGACTCTCCTGCCCCTGGCTTTCCACAATGGTGCATGGTGCTGACCCTAGATTCTGAGCAGCTGCTGGAGGTGCAAAAGCTGATTGCTGTCCTGCCCCTGGGGAGGTGGATGAAACTCCAGTGCCCTAAGGGCCTGGTGAGGGTGGCTGCTGCATAGCCTAGGGATTCACACATGAGCTGGGAAGGGCAGAAAGGGTTAGAAAATCAGGTTATCTGCTCAGAGGGGGACCCTGCATGGATCCCCAGGTCTTGCTAAGGTGGGGACATCCAAGCCAGTGAATGTGTGAGCAGGGCTGGCCTCCTCAGGCTCCTAGTGAGTCCAGCCCACTGCCCTCAGGCTGACATATGGGGACATGTGTCAGGAGACAAGGGTTCTGCACCCAAGGTTACTCGGTGCTTGGGGATAAGTGTTCAGGAGACATGAGGGGACAAGTGTTGTGGACCCAAGGTGACTGGGCCAGGGAAGAGGTTGAGCTCCAGGTGGTTGCCCTGGCAACTAGGACTTCATTCTGTGTGTGTGTGTGTGTGTGTGTGTGTGTGTGTGTGTCTTTCTGTCTGTCTGTCAGGGTTGCCTGCCAGGAGCCCTGGTCACCATGAATCCCTGTCCCTGAAGCAGGGCCATTTTGGGCAATTGCCTGGGTATAGACAGAGAGCTGCTCTGAGCAGGTGAGATACCCTGTCCCTCCTCCCTAGGGAGAGTCACCCTCAGCACTCGCCAGGAGATGCAGACACACCAGAAGGCAGGAGCTAGTGGCCCCTGGTGAAACCATCATTCATTGCCTATGGTGGGCACTGAGCTTATCTAGGCCAAGGGTCACCCATGGCAGGGGCGCCTGGTACTGAGAGACTCAGGGCTCCTACCTCCCTCCTAGACTGGAAAAGATGCCTTTCCCCAGCTCCCACCCCACCCACCCTAATCCTCTTCCCTGATCCTTTTTCCAGGGGGAGGGGGCCAGGCAACCAGCTTAGGGGAGAGGAGGCCACACTCCCTGTTCTCCAGCCCAGCCCTGCTTCCTCCCAACCCCCAGAACTCAACTTTGGTGCCATCACTCTTCACAGCCTGGATGCCACCAGTGAGCATGACTTCATGGGTGAAGTGACTTTGGGGAGCCAGTCCCCTGCCCGGTGCCTCACTTCTGTCCCTCCGCCCAGCTTCTCTCCAGTCTTCTCCTACTCCTGTATGGTCAGACTGATTGTACACTAAAGTGTAAACTTTAAATGAGTAAATTGGGCAGGGCACGGTGGCTCACGCCTGTAATCCCAGCACTGGCCAATTTGGTGAAACCCCATTTCTAAGAATACAAAATTTAACCAGGTGTGATGGTGAGCACCTGTAGCTACTTGGAGAGCTGAGGCAGGAGAATCGCTTGAACCCAGGAGTCCAAGGCTGCAGTGAGCTGAGATCACACCAGTACACTTTAGCCTGGGCAACAAGAGTGAAACGTTAGCTCAAAAATTAAAATAAAATAAAAATAAATAAATGGGAAGATTTTATGTGAACAATACCTCAGTAAAGCTGGTTTATCTTATTTTTTGTTTTGTTTTGCTCTGTTGCCAGACTTGAGTGCAATGGCACGATCTCAGCTCACTGCAACCTTCACCTCCGAGGTTCCAGTAATTCTCCTGGCTCAGCCTCCCAAGTAGCTGGGATTACAGGTGCGTGCCACCACACCCGGGTAATATTTTTGTATTTTTAGTAGAGAAAGGGTTTCACCGTTTTGGCCAAGATGGTCTGGATCTCCTGACCTCATGATCTGCCCACCTTGGCCTCCCAAAGTGCTGGGATTACAGGAGTGAGCCACCACACCCAGCCAAAGCTGGTTTATTTAAAACAACAAGAATAACAAAAAACAGGCTAAATGCAGTGGCTCACATTTGTAATTCCAGCACTTTGGGAGGTCAAGGCAGGAAGATTACTTGAGCCCAGGTGTTTTAGACCAGCATGGGCAACATAGCAAGACTCCATCTTTACTCAGAATGAAAATTTAGGTCAGGCACAGTGGCTCACACCTCTAATCAAGAACTTTGGGAGACCCAGCCAGGTGGATCACGAGGTCAAGAGATCAAGACTACCCTGGCCAACATGGTGAAATCCCATCTTTAACAAAAATAGAAAAATTAGCTGGCCATGGTGCCAGCTATTCAGAAGGCTAAAGCAGGAGAATTGCTAGAACCTAGGAGGTGGAGTCTGCAGTGAGCCAAGATCTCACCACTGCACTCCAGCCTGGCAACAGAACAGACCCTGTCTGGAAAAAAAAATGAAAATGTAGCCAGGTCCCCCCTACCGCCTAATGTCCTCTTTCTCCCTGTATGGTCAGGCTGGGTGAGTACCAGAGAGGCTTGGTGACTGGGAATCTTTTCTTTCTCCCAGCTGAGTTCCTGTTCTAGGCTTCATTCTGCATGACCCATCTCAGCAGGATGGCCAGGGACCTCATCCTCTGTGGCACCAAGGAATTCAGCTTCATGTAGCTCTCAGATGCCTACAGGTAAGCCCTGAACTGCCACTTCCACCTGCCCCTCCCAGCCTCTGCATTCTCCACACCCCTTAGGCATGGCTTCCTTCCTCCCCGCCCTCTGCCAGACCTGGCCAGTCAGCTGCTGGACAAGACAAGGGCCTAGCCCTTTCAGTGCCTGCATCTTTGTCTGCAGCACCAGAAGCAGCCTGATGCCCCAGAAGAAAAACCCCGACAGCTTGGAGCTGATCTGGAGCAAAGCAAGGGTGTGTGTTTGGGCAGGTGAGCATGGCAGGGAGAAAGGAAGGGTGGATATGAGATCCCCAGCAGGGGGTCCAACCCCATGCCTCCCTCTTCTTGCAACATTCTGTGCTCCTGATGACCCTCAAGGAACTTGCCAGCACCTGCAACAAAGACCTACAGTTGTGAGGCTGGGGACAGTGGCTGTGGGAGGCCTGCCTGCCTACACACCATGTGCCAGTTCTCGGGGTTCTAGCATACCCAGGCAGGGACCCTCAAGATTGCTGTACCTACACCAATCCTGTGCACTCAGCCCCATCTGTGGCTGCTTTTGGAGCTCTCGGCCCTTCCTTTGGGTACTGAGTATTCTTCCCATGGAAGGCAGCAGGGATGCCTCAGTGTGGGGTGTGGCTGTGGGGACCCTGGGTGCCAAGAGGAACATCTTCTGCCATGTTCCTCCCAGGAGGACAGGAAAGCTTTGTTTGAAGTGTCAGACACCATGAGTGCTGTGCTTCAGGTGGCCACTGGCATCATCTCTACACTGCAGGCAAGCCCACCCCCACCTGCCTCTCCTCCCCTAGATCCCAATCCCAGGCACTGGGGTGGGCTTGCCAGGAGAGTGGCCTTGGGCGGAGGAAAGGTGGGGCTGGAGGACCTGGGCAGGGAAGGAGTGGTGTGCTGGCTCCTGTTCCTGGGGAACAGGGAAGGGACAGAAGCTGCTGCCATGCAATGGAAGTAAATGAGACTCAAGGGACCTGGGGCCTGTCAACTGACCCAACCAGAACGCTTTTAAAAAAGAAAATTTATATAAAAGGTTGTCATGGTGGCTCACGCCTGGAATCTCACATTTTGGGAGGCTGAGGCAGGTGGAGCACTTGAGTTCAGGATTTTGAGACCAGCCTGGCCAACATGGTGTAATCATGTCTCTTAATAAAAATGCAAAAATTAGTTGGGTGTGGTGGTCCACACCTGCAATCCCAGCTACTTAGGAGGCTCAGGTAGGAGAATTGCTTGAACCTGGGAGATGTAGTGAGCCGAGATGATGCCACTGCATTACAGCCTGGATGACAGAGATATGTAAATTAGTTAATTAAATATCTTTTAAAAATTATTTTTTAGAGACAGGGTCTCTTTTTTTCACCCAGGCCAGAGTGCAATGGCACAGTCATAGCTCACTGCAGCCTCAAACTCCTGGGTTCAAATGGTCCTCCCACTTTAGCCTCCAAAGTAGCTGGGACTACAGGTGTGCACCACCACACCTGGCTAATTTTTTGAATTTTTTGTAGAGACAGGGTCTTCCTGTATGGCCCAGGCTGGTCTCAAACTCCTGGCCCCAGGCCATCCTTCCACTTTCATCTCCCAAAGTGCAGGAATTATAGGCATGAGCCACTTTGCCTGACTGATTTCTTTTAAAACCAATTATTATGGGAATTTCTGTCTATAACAGCTAGAGAATGCATAATGAACCCTATGTACTGACACCCAGCTTCAACAATAATCAGCTCACGAACATTCTGGCTCCAGCTGTCTTTACACACTGCCCAACGCTGTGGGTATGGGGTAATCCCAGCAATTTCTGAGGCCAAGGCAGGTAGATCACTTAAGGTCAGGAGTTTGAGGCCAGCCTGACCAACATGGTAAAGCCCCATCTCTACTAAAATGCAAAAAAATTATCTGGGCGTGGTGGTGCATGCCTGTAGTCCCAGCTACTTGGGAGGATTGAATCATTTGAGAATCACTTGAACCCAGGAGGTGGAAGTTGCCATGGGCCAAGATTGCACTATTGCACTCCAGCCTGGGCAATAAGAGCTAAACTCTGTCTTAATAATAATACTAAGGCTGGGCACAGTGTCTCATGCCTGTAATCCTAGCACTTTGGGAGGGCAAAGTCACACAGCTTGCGGTAGGACCTCCAGTCATTAAAGGTACCCAGTATAACAGAGACTACTGAGTTACTCACCGATGACCAGAAGTGAAATGTGGAGCCCAGACCTTCGAAAGGCTGGGATGGCACTTAAAGAAAAAAGGGGGCATGGCACGGTGGTTCGTACCTATAATCCCAGCACTTGGGGAGGGAGGCCAAGGTGGGTGGATCATGAGGTCAAGACATTGAGACCATCCTGGTCAACATGGTGAAACCCTGTCTCTACTAAAAATACAAAAAAATTAGCTGGGCATGGTGGCACACGCCTGTAGTCTCAGCTACTCAGGAGGCTGAGGCAGCAAAATTCCTTGAACCCAGAAGGCGGAGGTTGCAGTGAGCGGAGATCATGCCATTGCACTCCAGCCTGGGTAACAACAGGGAAACTCCGTCTCAAAAAAAAAAAAAAAGAAAAAGAAAAAAGAGGGATAGCATATGCTATAGACTGAATGTCTGCCTCAAAGTTCATGTTGAATCCTAATCCCCGATGTAACGGTATCAGAGGTGAGGACTTTGTGAGGTGATTGCAGCTATTGAGGGAGGAGTCCTCATTAATCGGATTCGTGCCTGGTAAAAGAGGCCCCAGAGTGCTCTGTTACATCTTCTACCACCTGAGAACACAGCAAACAGGCACCATCTAGGAATCAGGGCCCCAGACAACAAACCTTCTCCTTCCTCCACCCTGACCTTGGGCTTTCAGCCTTCACAAATGTGAGAAATAAATTTCTGTGGTTTATAAGCCACCCAGTCTATGGTATTCTGTTATATCAGCCCAAACAGACTAGGATAGTACAGTAGCTTTCGAGGGCAACTGGAACAAGGGGAAGGAGGACTATTTGTTAAAGATGTCAGCAACTGGCTGGGTATGGTGACTCATGCCTATAATCCCAGCACTTTGAAAAGCCAAGGGGAGCAGATCACCTGAGGTCAGGAGTTTGAGACCACCCTGACCAACATGGTGACAACAAAAAAATTAGCTGGTTGTGGTTGTGCACACCTGTAATCCTAGGCACTCGGGAGGCTGTGGTAGAAGAATCACTTGAACCTGGGAGGTGGAGGTTGAAGTGAGTGGAGGTTGTTGCAGAGGCGAGATCGTGTACACTGCACTCCAACCTGGGTGATAGTGACTCCATCTCAAAATAAAAAAGATGTCAGCAACTTAAGTATTTTTAACGGCTGGGCAGAGGGGACCAATGAAAAAGAGTAGGACATCGTGATCTGAGGGGAGGGTTTGGCTCAGGAAGGAGGAAGTACACCTCCTCCTTGGATACTGGAAGGGAAGGTGTTGCTGATGAAAACTTCAAAGGAAGAAAAGGTCCATGGAGGATGCTTCATCACTGGGTTTAAGTTTTTTAACAAAATTGGTGAGGAAGACATCTGCACATAATCTAAAAAATAATGAATGCAGCCATGGTACCTTAGGGCACTGGAAAAGGCAATGCACCTGACCTCTGGGGAAGCTGATCTGAGAGGCACGCGGGACGTCTTGGTGTGGGGAATCTGTGTGGAGATGCGTCTGGAGACAGTGAGTCATACTTCCTGACCTTATAACCATGCAGCTCAGCAGTCTCTGTGAGAGTCGGCTCCCTGCAATTTGTGTTCCAGGTACTGCTCTCGTTCGTTAAGACTTCTACAATGGGGAGGGTAAATTTTAATTTGTAAGAAAATGAAGCATTCAAAAATAAAATTACCTGCTCTATCCAGGGTATATTTGCTTTCCAGCCTATCTTAGCAGTTACAGAGGATAACTGCTAAGTACACTTGACTCGTTCATTTGAACATCATGTGAGCACAATTGACAACCCATCTTAAAAAAAATCTTGAGAAAAAAGTATTTAATTTCTTGACTAAATTTAGCTTTTAGAAGGGATCAGTGATTCTGTTGATGGTGATTGAGACGGTTAATATGTAGATGTTTTCTTCTTGGCATGTGAGAGACATGTTTGTTTTAGTGGGAGCAGCAGGTGTGTGTGGAAGAAAACCTGGAGTCCCAGGCCACCACACTACTTGGGCTGGTAACATGTATTTTTCAAGTTCTGCTCCACCAGGCTGAGTACCATGTGTTGATAACTGATATCTGTGCTTCTATCAAATTAAACCTGAAGTGCCTTTCTCTTTTCATTTCAAATAACTTTGCTCTTTCGTTGCTTATGCCATTTAAAGTGAGATTTGTACCAAAGTGTTAAAATGTATTTAGTGTATTCCTTAATACATGAATGTATACATTACAATCTTTGATTTAATCTTATCGTAAGTCTTTAGTAGCAGTGTAGTCTTGCAATGGAAATCTTTCAGCTCTCTTTAATCTTTATCAAGTTTTCAGTTTATTAGTCTGTTTAATCTCTTATGCCACTTTTACACTTATGCCATTTAGACTATCAATTAATAAACATTGAGAAAAATAATTATTATAACTGTTACATTGAATTCAGAAGAGTGACACATGTTTAATATTACATTCTATAAAAAATCCTAAGCTTAATTTCAGGAAAGATTCAGTTTTATTCTTATAAGTATTTACAATTAGTCAAAACTCCCCCTACCCCAATCCCTTATCAAAATCAATGTTCATAAACCAACAGGTGAGGTTTTATGTACCCACTAGATGCTTATATGTCCATGGGCAGGAATGATCACAGGAATATTAACACATCCATCCAGCTGGACTGTGGAGATGTTTCTAATGTTTGATAGAGATCCTGCTATTCACGTAACTGTGGAGTGACTTGGCTAACTGACATATGTTCTTTAGGATCCATGGAGCACGTAACACATCCTGATGCTGTTCTCAGCCTTCTATGGCCTCTTGGTCACCGTTTCCTACCATCTGAGCTGGCAGAGCAGTGACCCATCTGTGTTCATGTGAGTGATCTATGCCTGTGCTGTCATCACTGAGCAGGGGGTGCGGTTCCCACAGCGTTTTGCCCTGACTGAGGTGGGGAGATGGCAAATCACTGCCTATTGTAATTTGACTCTCATTATTAAACTAGCTGGTCATTCACCAGAGGAGGGCAGGAGAAATACAGGACCAGCCAGAAATTAGTAACAGTTAAAAGTGAACATCCAGCAAACATTTTGGCTTTGCTCCTTTGATTTTGGAGTAAAATGCACAGTGGCAGGAACAGATGGCCAATAGCACCCAAGCTGTGACTTTCCCTTGGGTGAGTTGGGTGAGAAGCTACCACCTCAACAATACTTTCTCTAGATCCATTAAACTGCATCCCTGCATTGAGGCAGTTACCTGTGGAGACTAAACCAGCACCTCTGAAAGGAAACTTTTTGTTCTATTTTGTTGTGGTGGTGTTGGTTCTCAATCTGGCCAATGCCCTCTGGATTTAAAGTGAGATTTGCACCAAAGTGTTAAAATGTATTTAATGTGATCCTTAGTAATGTGAACATATACATTGCAATCTTCCCTTTCATCATATCTTTTAAGCCTTTGGTCACATGTACTCTGGCACTGGAAGTCTTTCAAGTGATGCCAGAGTGAGTTTCAGATACTGACAGTAGCATCTTATGTAATGTGTTTAAATTTATGAAAAATTTTGATTTAAGATAACCATACTCTTGGAGGACCGGAGACAGCATAATTTTAGGCTATTAGATGCGGCAGTATCAAAGGCATGAAAAATGGAAAAAAGAAAAGTTAAATGGTTCTCACACTTTTTAGTGTCAGTTGTATTACTTCAGTGTTCACTTTCTGCTGCTAATTGTTTGTGAAGATGAAGCTCTAGTGGGCTGTCAGAGATGGAGGACCGTTCCTTTGTCCCACTGCTGACAGTAGAGGGTGATGCTGCTGCTGAGGTACTTGACTGCTCTCATTAGGGTGAAATTTAGAATTATGATCACTTGAACGAGTACCTCTTTTTAGATTTTAAATGAAGAGGGCGCTGCTTTTGTCATGTGTGGGTGTGAGATCTAAGGTGAAGTTATTTACCAAAAACACTGCCCCAGGGACGTCATTGATAAAGTAAAACCTATGTGTTTTTCCACTTTCAGGTCCTTCATTCAATGCAGACTGTTTCCTAAGTTTTTACATCAAAATCTGGAAGAGTCAGCTGCTGATCCTCTCCCCAAGAAGATGAAAGATTCTGTGGTGAGACATTGTGTTGTGTAACGTAGTATAGGAGGGCCTCACCTTTCTTTTCAGCAGAGCTCGGGCTCTCAATGGGCCTCTAGGCAGGTGGACATGAGAAGGGCTAGGACAGAAAGACACCTCAGCATGTCTCTGGCACACTGAACTATTGAACTGCCTGCAAGGGTGCAGCCCTTCAGAGCATCTTGATGGCGGCCGTTATGCACACAAGGCATGGGTGCTTAGGTGGCCTTCAGTTGGTTGCAGTTTGCCAGGATAGTCACATGAATCACAGTGAGTCAGTTTTGCCTATTGCTGGCACCAAATAGCAGGTGGGCTCTGCACAAATGAAAGCTTTTCAGATAAACGTTTAGCCAACCTGCCTTCCTGATGTGGTCCACATACAACTCTTCTCCATATCTTCTCCCTGCAGCTCCACACTGAGTTCAGAGCACTCTTTCAAAGTTGATGTCTGCACAGCCATTGCTTGGGGCACTTGGGCTTTAGACTTAGGGCTGGGTCACAGAGAAGTGGGTAACCACACTGGGGAGCACAGGAGAAGAAAAGGAAGAAAGAAGGAGAGGGAGACAGGAAGAAGAGAATCCTACAGCTATAAAATAATGATGCCATTTCCTTGTTCATCAGGAAAATGGCTCTGGACAGCTTCAAACTTTTTTCTTTTTTTTTTTTTTTTTTTTGAGATAGTCTTGCTCTGTTGCCAGGTGCCAGGCTGGAGTGCAGTGGTGCGATCTCAGCTCACTGCAACCTCTGCCTCCTGGGTTCAAGCAATTCTGCCTCAGCCTCCTGGGTAGGTGGGACCACAGGTGTGTGCCACCATGCCCAGCTAATATTTTTGTTTTTTTAGTAGAGATGGGGTTTCATCATGTTGGCCAAGATGGTCTCAATCTCTTGACCTTGTGATCAGCCCACCTTGGCCTCCCAAAGTGCTGGGTTTAGAGGCTTGAGCCACCGCACCCGGCTCAAGCACTCTTTTAGCAAATGTAGTTTCTTTGGTATCAACTTACAAACATTCATATGTTAAAAGCCAATGCTCCTTAATTGTGTAAGCTCACATCATACATCTGAGTATTGAACTTGGAGCTGTCTAATGTCCTTGACTCACACTTTTCCTGGTTTTCTTAGGAATAAGAGATAAAAGGAAAAGGGAATAATCTATTGATCCAACCAGGACTGTGTCTCATTTGTCCTGATATCCACAGAGCCAGTGCATGGTGTTCTAGTGGGTGCTCAGTACAGTTCATGGAATTTAGACGAGTTTAATTGCAGTCTGCCATTTCAAGGCAATGTATGGACTCACAGCCAACATGAAAGCCTTTAAAAGAAATTCATACTCAGCTTTTGTGCCTTTAAATGTGGTCACAATTCAAGCTAATGTATAAAGGCTTTTTTTCCACCATAAGGGAATCAAAGGACAAATCACTTAATATCAGTAAGGGCATAGTTCATGAATTTTAAGAGCAGAGATACATTTAAAAGCAAGTTAAAAGTCAAAGCAGTTGGCCCTGATGAGATGGCAGCCCCCAAAAATAAATATTTGACATAAGCCTCGCATCCTCAACCAACCTGACTGCTAATATTTATACCTGGAGACTTACAGGGAGAAGGTCAAACTAACATTCCCACAATACTTTTTGTAAAAGCTGTAGGGTAGCCCAGAGTCTACCCAAAAGTCTCCCCATGAGTATGTGAAAAACTATGCCCTTCTGTCTTCCTCGATTTCATGACTAATGAAGATGCATCTCTACTTTCTGATTTATTGTAGCTTTTTAAAAATTTTTAACCTACACATGGAAGTAAGGAACCAGCAGAAACAAGTCTATAACTACTTCAGTTGTTGGAGGTATCAGACACAGATTTTAAAACAACTATTCTTATTCTTGAAGTAAAAGGCAAATTTTAAAATTTATAGGCCATAGAAAATATTTAAAACAATCCAGCAGGTTTGAAAGCCAAATAGAATTTTTGAAACAAGTAAACAAGTGAATCAATTGAATTCTACACCACCACACCACCCCACACATGGGAGATTAGATACATCTGAAGAGAGAATTCGTAAACTGAATGAAAAATAGAGAAGAAAATATTCAGAACATAACATCAATTGACAAAAAAAAATCAAGAAATATGAAAGGGAAATGAAGGATAGATTGAGAAGATTTAAAATATATCTAATCAGAATTCCTAGAAAGGCTGAAGCATAATTAATACTTGGTGAGATAATATCTCAAAGTTTACCAGAATTGATAAAAGATACTTATCTTGAGATTCAGGAATTTCAGTGAATCACAAGTAGGGTAAATTGAAGAAGAAAGAATCCACACCAGCCAAGCCATAGAAACTGCAGCATGCCAAGCACATATACCAACTTAAAGCAAGTAAACAGAATGAACAGATTACATTCAAATGAATGACTGCAAGCTCCCTTATTGAGAGCCATCATGGAAGCCAGAAGATAGTTGTTTGATGTACTTAATGATGTGTAAAGAAAGTAACTAAAGTAACTACCAAGCTAGAACTTTACTCCTGCTGAAAGTATCCTTTAAGGATAAGGCAAAATAAAAAAGAAATGCTCAGAAACCCTCATTACATGTAATCTGAAGGTATTTTCAGTAGAAAGTGGCCTTGTGGTAAAAGTAGTTTGAGGAGAAAAGACAAAAAGGAAAAAAAAAATGATCTTGGCTGGAAGGTCTGATTTGCAAGTGAACAAAAAAAAAATGGCAGGTACATTGGCAAATCTGAATAAATATTAGCTGCATAAAACCATGATAAAGCTATATAGTTGGCTTTAAAATGTAGAGTAGCTGGGCATGGTGGCACGTGCCTGTGGTTTCAGCTACTTGGGAAACTGAGGCAGAAGAATCGCTTGAACCCAGGTGGCGGAGGTTGCAGTGAGCTGAGATTGTGCCACTGCACTCCAGCCTGGTGACAGAGTAAGAGTCTGTCTCAAAATATGTGAATAAAGTGGAATTAAAATACATGACTATAATAACATACAAGTTTGGATGAGAGGAGAAATGAACTTCAAGTTGTCAGAGGTCTTAGTAATGTCCAAGAGAAGAATAAGATATAGATTGAATGTTCCTAATCCAAAAATCCAAAACCTGAAATGCTTCAAAATCCAGAACATTTTGAGCACCAATGTGATGCGCAAACGGAGTATTTTGGATTTCCGATTTTCGGATGAGGGCTTCTCAGCCTGTACCGTTAACTTCAGCTTGTGATAAATTAGATATGCATGTTGGGATGTTTTGTGCAACTACTAAAGGAATAGAAACAAAGCATGTAGGTTCCAATTCCAAACAGAAGGAAAAAATAGAAAACTAAAAATAGAAGTTATTCATAAATAAGAAAATGAAATTGGACTACTATGTCATACTGTACTTAAAAACAATTTCAGGTAAATTATAAGCCTAAATATGAGAAAATAATACCTGAAAGCACTTAGGGTCACAATAATGGAAACTTCTTCCATGATATCAGTGTAGGAAATAAGTTTTTAAAACAACACAAAAGGTTCAAATTTATTTAAATTGTGACTTGATTTAGTATTTTAAATTATACAGAAAAGCTACTAGTGTCTAGATGAATATAACATTCTCTAAATCAATGAGCAAACCATATCTCTCCATTGAAAATAGTTGCAGAAGAATTGCACATACACTTCACAAATGAGGAAATATAAATGGCTAAAAAACATGAGTATATGGTCAACTTCATTAATTATCAGAAAACTCCAAATTGAAATCACACTGACTTACTGTTTCAAAACTACCATACCAAGAAAAGTAAAGTGCTCACAATATTAAGTGGTGAGAAGTGTAGAGCAAGGTAATTCTCATGTATTGCTGGTGGGAGTGTGAACTAGTATACACATATTGGAAAAAAGTTTGGTTATATAAAAGTTTAAGACATGAGTAGACTGCACCCAGCAGTTCTACTCCCAAGTACTTTTCTGGAGCAAATCTTGCACATTTGCACTAAAATACACGTATAAAGTTGTTCATAATAGCACTTGTTCATGGAAATGCCAAATGAGTAGTCCGTAGCAAAGGAATGAACTTACAGCTAAATGCAATTCATGGGTCCCCCCCCCCCCCCCCCCCCCCCCCCCCCCCCCCCCCCCCCCCCCCCCCCCCCCCCCCCCCCCCCCCCCCCCCCCCCCCCCCCCCCCCCCCCCCCCCCACACCCCCTCCCCCCCCCCCCCCCCCCCCCCCCCCCCCCCCCCCCCCCCCCCCCCCCCCCCCCCCCCCCCCCCCCCCCCCCCCCCCCCCCCCCCCCCCCACCCCCCCCCCCCCCCCCCCCCCCCCCCCCCCCCCCCCCCCCCCCACCCCCCCCCCCACCCCCCCCCCCCCCCCCACCCCCCCCCCCCCCCCCCCCCCCCCCCCCCCCCCCCCCCCCCCCCCCCCCCCCCCCCCCCCCCCCCCCCCCCCCCCCCCCCCCCCCCCCCCCCCCCCCCCCCCCCCCCCCCCCCCCCCCCCCCCCCCCCCCCCCCCCCCCCCCCCCCCCCCCCCCCCCCCCCCCCCCCCCCCCCCCCCCCCCCCCCCCCCCGGTGAAACCCCGTTTTCTACTAAAAATACAAAAAGTTAGCTGGGCATGGTGGTGCGTGCCTGTAATCCCAGCTACTCAGGAGGCTGAGGCAGGAGAAAAAAAAAAGAATATAAAAATATTAAACTTGTATTTAAGAAAGGTAATACAATAATTTGGTATGATACTTGTGGCAAACTTAGCAAAATAAATCTCTCTCTAATATCAACAATCCTTACAATTTGATTTTTAAAACCCTATAGGCAAATTATATGTGTATCATTTGTATATAACTATATAAAAATATATATATATCTGAGCTCCAAAATGAAGCCATTTGAAATTTTATATAAAATTAAGGAACAAATTATTAAGTAAATGTATAATTATCCTTCTTATAAATTAATGCAAATTAAAACCAGTTGGCATTTTTTTGTACACACCATTAGCACTGGGAAAATTAGTGATGGTGCCAATTGTGTCAAGATGCAATCTCTTAGACATCATTTGTATTTACGTAAATTATTATCATCTGGAAAAGCATAATTTATCAAGGATCATAAAATGCTTACAACCTATGATAGAGTAAATCTATTTGTTAGAGTTTTTCTAGGAAATCAATTCAAATTATGAAAAAAGTTTTAGGTACATAAAGATAATTTCAGCATAATTCATCATGATGAACAATGGAAGGCAACCTAATAGTAGCAGTCAAGGGATATTTGCAATAACTATATATGTCATTAAATTTCATTCACTAAATTAATGTTTTCAGTGATCACATGGCATTATATGTGTGTATATGTGTATGACATCACAAGGTAGAAAATTATTTAGTCACTAAATGATATTAGTGAGCCTATACAATTTTATCTATATATGTGTGCGTGTATATATATATTAGGTAGTACGGTAGAAAAGATAGAAAATTGTTTGCACACTAAAGATTAGACCCTATGAAATATGCGTAGAAATACTCATATACATAAGGATTATAGCTAGAGCCATGGTTTAACATCCACAGGAAAATACAGGCTTGGGAAACAAAAAATGCAAATACTGTTAATGTCAGGCTATAATCACTGTGAAAGATTTTCCCTCATATATGTTCTAGGGTGCTGCAGTGTTATTGTTATTCTCTAATAGAAAATTAACCATAAAAATTACAAAGATCTAAATTTTCAATTTTCTTCCATCTTGCAGAACATTCCCTTTCACATTCATTTTTGTAAGATCTAACAGTACAATTCACTATTAAGACATAGGGCATTTATTCAGAAGAAACAGATTCTTAAACTCTTGTTTAAATAATTTAACAGTCACAGATTTGTTTTAAACCTTCAAGCATGTGAAGAAAGAAGGCAGTACCAGTAATTCTCTTTTTATATTACAAAAGTAAGTTTAAAATAAAATAAACTCTCCTGAAAAACCTCACATATATTCATGTCTTATAGAAGGTAGAAAGATATAATAATATACATTTAAATGAGCAAAAGTGATTTAACAAGAAAACCAACAAGTTACAAACTTTAGTGTTAAAGCCTGCTATCGCAGGACAGGGTAGCAAGCTCTGAAGTTCAGGTGTCTTACAAGATTCCTTTTAAAAATAGTATTTTTATTTTTAAAAAATAGATTTTATTGTGTATATTTAAGGTCTATAACACAATGTCATGAAATACATATGGATAGTAAAATGGTTACTATAGTGAAATAAGTTAACATATCTGTCATCTCATAGTTACCCATTTTTATTTGTTTTTGTGGCAAGAGCAGCTAAAATCTACTTATTTTGCAGGAATCCCAAATATAGTTTTATTAATTATAGTTCTCATGAACATCAGATCTCTGGAGTTTTTTATCCTATGTATCTGCTACTGTATAACTTCTAACATACATGTCTCCATCTCTACCTCCCCCATGTTCATGTTAGCTCCTGTTTTATTCTCCATCTCTGTATATTTGACTCTCTCTCAATTCTACCTACAAGTGAAATGATGGAGTATTGTCTTATGATGGAGTATTTGTCTTTCTGTGTCTGGGTTACTTCACTTAGCAACATGTGCTCCATGTCCCTCCATGTTTGTGGCAAATGGCAGGATGTCTCTTTTTTATAAATACTGAATAATATTCTATTTATCCCTTGTTTCTCTGTTGACAAGACACTCAGGTTGTTTCCACATCTTGGCTACTGTGAATAGTGCTGTAATACACATGGTAGGACAGATATATTTATGGCATGGTGGTTATATATCCTTTGGATATATGCCTAAAAGAGGGATTACTGGGGCATAAGGTAGTTTTTTGTTTTTAATATCTTTTTTAAAATATAGAGATGGAGTCTCATTATGTTGCCCAGGCTGGTCTTGAACTCCCGCCTCAAGCAATCTTCCCACCTCGGCCTCCCAAAGTGCTAGAATTACAGGCATGAACCAACTCACCTGACTTATTTTAAAATTTATTTAGAACCTCCATATTCTCTTCATAATGGCTACACAAATCTATATTCCCACCAAAATATATATATATATGTTTTGGCAGTATAATATTTTGGAGCAGAATAATATCTCTTTTTTGTGGCTTTGGGGAAAAACAGCTGTTTTCTTTTATTTAGCTGTTATTTTCAGCAGTATTAGGAGAGCAGTCTAGTTTCATAAACTAGCATCAAGAGTAAAAAGCTCAGTAATTGCCAATTTGCCATATGTATATCTCCATCACTGAAGCATCTGTTTAGAACTATTTCCCATGTGCAGCTGGGGATATAGGGCAGTTTTGTTTATAGGTAAATGTCCTTTGTTAAATGTGTGTTTCATGAGTAGTATTTTTCCCAAGTCTTGGCTTGCCTTTTTGTGTCTTTTGAAGAGCAAAAGTTTTACATTTTGGTGATGTCCAATTTATTTAACTTTTTTTCTTTTACAGTTCAAACGTTCAGTGCCCCATGTAAGAAATCTTTGCCAAATCCAGGGTCGTTAAGATTTCTTCTTATGGTTGCTTTGAGCAGTTTGGTGGTTTGTTAGATTTATAATGTTGAGTTAATTTCTGTGTGTGCAGCAAAGTAAGTGTCAAAGTGTTTTTGTTTTATTTTATTTGTAGATGACTATTCCGTTGTTCCAGCACATTTCATAAAAAGGGTACTCCTCCAGTATCCTCCAACATCCTCCTCCAGGTTGGGAGCTCTTCATTTGTCCCAACATCCTTAACACATTTATTTAGCACATAGAGGTGCTGTTCTAGGAACTTGGAGTACACATGTGATCAAGATAGACTCCAGCCTACCTTCATGGCATTTGCAGTGTGGCGGGGACACCTATGAAGAACAAAGGAATAGACAATGCCAGGTCCTGAAGAGTCTTCTGCAAAAGCTAATGCAGGGGAAGGGGAGGGAGGGTGGCACATTGGGGAGGAGATGAGGAGTGAAGGAGATGCTATCTCTGTCATCGCCTCCCCTGACCATGACTACCTGCCCCCTTGCATAAGCCTGCACCTGAAACATGAAGTTGAATCCAGAAAAAAGCAGGAAGAAATACCCTGACCTTCTCTTATCTCTAGTCTCCTGGCAACACCTCCCATTGGCTGAACCCAAGAGAAGCCACCTGTTACAGGAGTCCCTGACATACTGCACACAGGGCAGCCTCCCTGGTGCTGAGCTAGATAAGAAGAGATGGGTAATGAACTAGGGTGTGAAGAAACAACCAGCCAGGGATGATTAGCAGAATATTTTCTCCCTAAGCTAGTGGCATTGCTTCAGCATGTCATGTACAGGCTGTTTCTTGTATTTTGGTATGAATTGATTGTTTCACAAACAGTGTGAAATCATTTATTTTATGAAAACTATTTTTAAAAATAATCAGATGGCCTGGTGCTCACGGGCAGAAAAAAAGGTGACCTTGGCATCATGACCCCACCTGGAAATTGGGTCTCAAAGCCACATTTGAGGCTAAGCAGGTGCAAGCACCAGTGAAAGAGCAGAATCCAGGAGCCCAAACACCCGAGTTCACATTCTGCTTCAGCTACTCACCTGCAAGGGATGACTAGAGAAAGTCCCCTCCTCTCCCAGCCTCAGTTTCCCCAGCATGCATTAGTGATCCCTCATGGGCTTCTCAGCTCTGATGGGCCAAGAGCTCTCTGAGAAGTGAGAAGACACCAATACTATCAGAAGCCCAGCGTTTACTGATTGTGGAAGACAGATGACTGATTGTACTTATACGGAGGAAGAATTCAAATAATGCTCCTGGATAGCACCTCAGGAGCATTTCCAAGATGATTCAAATGCAATGATGAGCACTCTTATCAACGCCTGCTGGGACATGAGGAAAAACCAAGGGCAGGTGCCGCCATAGCAATTTTTAGGTGGAAGGAAGGATTCCGGGAATGGCAGCAAGTTGGGGAGGTGAGAGAGACCCAGCTGGCAGCTGGGCTCTGATTCCAGCTGTGACCTTCAGGATGTGACCTTTGGCAAGCCCCTTTGCCTCTTCGGGCCTCAGTTTCTCCATCTGTAAAATGAAGGGGTTGAACATATCACTACTCTGGCCCCTTTCAGCCCCATGCCCATATGTGCCAATGGATCCAACAGTAGGCAAAATCCTGGGGAACTGAAGTTTCCAGGCCTTTAGCCAGAGGGAAAGCTCCCCACTGGTTTAGGAGCACAGGCCCCACAGGCTGAGCTGAAGGCCAGGCCCACTCCACATTATTTCCATAACTTTGGGCAGGCTCCTTTTTTCTCTGTGTCTTGGTTTCTTTCCCTGGAAAAGGAGATCTTCATGGTGATATGATTGGTTTTGGATTTAGATCTCGTTGTGTTTCTATTTGTCCTATCTGGTATTTGTATACCTTTCTTGGTCTCCTTTCTCTGCCTTCTTTTGGACTGCATATTATTTATGATTCCACCTTGTCTTCTCTGCTGCTTGTTACTATAACTAAACGTTTTTGCATTTTCGTGGTTACTTGAGTGTTTATAGTACACCATTGTTAGCACAGTCTGCCCAGGAGACATTATACCATTTCTCACTTTAAGAACCTTTACAGCAGTGTAATTCCCACTTCTCCTCGCCCACCTTTGTACTATTGTTTATTGTTTTTACTTCTACATGGTTTTTGTAAATATTACACTACATTATTGTTTTTTGTTTGTTAAGGTGCCTCACAGGCCAGGAAATGGTGGCTGACACCTGGAATCCCAGCACTTTGGAGTTTAAGACCCAGCCTGGCCAATATGGTGAAACCCTGTCTCTACTGAAAAAAATACAAAAATTACCTGGGCGTTGTAGTGGGCAGCTGTATCCCCAGCTACTTGGGAGGCTGAGGCAGAAAAATCGCTTTGAACCCGAGAGGCAGAACTTGCAGTGAGCCAAGATCATGCCACTGCATTCCAACCTGGGCAACAGAGTGAGAGTCTGTCTCAAAAAAAAAAAAAAAGCCGGGTGGTGGCTCACACCTGTAATCCCAACACTTTGGGAGGCCAAGACAGGCAGATCTCCTGAGGTTTGGGAGTTCAAGACCAGCCTGACCAACATGGAGAAACCCCATCTTTCCTAAAAAATACAAAATTAGCAGGGTATGGTGGCACATGCCTGTAATCCCAGCCACTCAGGAGGCTTAGGCAGGAGGATTGCATGAACCTGGGAGGTCAGAGGTTGCTGTGAGCTGAGATCAAGCCATTGCACTCCAGCCTGGGGCAACAAGAGTGAAAATCCATCTAAAAAAAAAAAGAAGGGTCGCACTATGTTGCCCAGGCTGGTCTTGAACTCCTGAGCTCATGCGACTCTTCCTGCCCCAGTCTCCCCAAGGAGCTGAAATTACAAGTGTTGTGCCACCATGGCTGGCCCTTTTATAAGGTGTTACCCCCTTTGGCCTTTCCAGTCACTCTATGAGATAATTATCATCATCCCCATTGCACAGATGAAGAAACCAAAGCCCAGAGGGATTGACCCACTTGCTCAGGATCTACCCCAAGCCAGTGTTTCCCTTAACATCTATTCTGCAGTTTGGTATGTGGCCATTGACAGTGCAAAAGGTGAGCTTGGTCAAAAGAGTGTTCCCAGAAATGTGTCATCATTATATATTTGAAGTGCAGGAGAAAAAAAAAATTAAAGTAGCATTTTAAGCTCATGATTCACAAATGGTGTTGCTTAGGTTAAATATATTTAAGTTCATACAGTGACCAGTGCAAGTATGGTCATAGAAGCTTTATTCATAACAGCAAAAACTAGAAACAAGTGAGACACTCATCAACTATAGAATAGAGAAACAAACTGTGGAATGGCCATGTAACGGAATTCCCAGCCGGCAGCGAAAGGCAGCAAACCACTTGTCAACCTACAATGGGGACAAATCACAGATATTTTTTTGCATGTTTTGTTTTGTTTTTGAGATGGAGTCTTGCTCTGTACCCCAGAGCTGGATTTTGGGTGGCATGATCTCGGCTCACTGCAACCTCCACCTCGTGGGTTCAAGTGATTCTCCCATCTCAGCCTCCTGAGTAGCTGGAATTACAGACACCTGCCACCACACCCCGCTAGTTTTTCTATTTTTGTAGAGACAGTGTTTTGCCATATTGGCCAGACTGGTGTCAAACTCCTGACCTCAGGTGATCCTGATCTGCCTGCCTGGGCCTCCCAAAGTGCTGGGATTACAGGGGTGAGCCACATGCCCATCCTCAGAAAAACAATATTGAGGCGAAGAGGCTAGCCTCAAGTGTACATATTATAAGAGTCCATTGATACAAAGTTCAAAAACAGCTAAAGCAAATCTGTGGCTGCCACTGGGAGGCAGATACCATCCAGGGAACCTTCTGGGGTGATGGGATATGCTATATCTTTCTTTTTTTAGACAGAATCTTGTTCTATCACCCAGCTGGAGTGCAATGACATCACTTTGGTTTCACTGCACACATCCACCTCCCAGGTTTGAGCGATTCTCCTCCCTCAGCCTCCTGAGTATCTGGGATTACAGGCACCCACCATCATGCCTGGCTAATTTTTGTATTTTTAGTAGAGAGGGGTTTCACCTTGTTGGCCAGGCTGGTCTAGAAAGTATAACTCCTGACTTCAAGTGATTTACCCACCTTGGCCTCCAAAGTGCTGGGATTACAGGCATGAGCCACCTCACCCATCCTGGAATATTCTATATCTTGATGTGGGTGTGGTCACATCAGTGTCCTTGTAGGCAAAAATGCATCAAATCAGGTTACATTTCATATTTGTTCAGTTAATGTATATGCAGTATGCATCAATAAATCATCGTTAATAGATTAAGGGAGTTTATTATTTGTTTTGTAAGAGGGGATCTTGCTTTGTTGCCCAAGCTGGTCTTGAACTAGCCTGCTTCAAGCAATCATTCCCCCCTTGACTACCCACAATGCTGGGATTACAGGCTTGAGCCACCACGCTCTGCCAGGGTAAGTTTTTAAAAATAAATGTATTTAAGAAAAATTGTATCTAAATAGTAGTTTGGGGTATGCAAATATGACCAAAAACAAAAGAAAAGCAAGGCATGCAAACAAAACTTCAACGGCACCGAAGTTTGGGGGTAATGTAAGTGCTAG